AGTTGTTGGTGTTGGGCTGGGTGAGCTGCAGGCCACGGATGTTGTGGAAGTCCAGAAGCTTCAACATCTCCTTGGTGTCGGCGTCGACCTCGATGATGTCCTGCTCCAGAGCGGAGACGGCGGGGACGTAGTTGTCGCGACGCTCACGCTCCTCCTCCTGCAACTTGATGGAGATGCCACGCACCTGGGAGTGGCGCAGACGGCCCATCAAATGGGTGACATAGCTGGAAGAGATTAGGGGATTATTAGATCCACTCACCAATGAGATTTCAGCGGCACTTACCCGGCAATCTTGTTGCGCAGGGGCTTGGTGGGGATGATGGCCACCTCCTCGCAGATGCGCTTGTTGGTGTGGAAGTCCAACGTCAGGCGAGTGTAGTACTTCTCGATGATAACCTTAGCGGCCTTCTTCACCGTCTTGGTTCGTACGCGACCCTGTGGTAGTTGATAAAACGGTTAGTAGCACGATAATTCATTCAATCCATTTTATTGTATATTCCGGGTACTTTTCTGTCATGACTAAAAAAATATTTTGCAGCTGGTTTTTCTGAGATTGTTTCGGCATTTACCAGGGTCTTCTAATGTATGAAACCTTCACTTCCTTGTAGTTTAAGATTCTTTTTAAGTTACTGTTCGAACTGCTTTTTGTAATGAACATTAAAGTCGGTTTTAAGACGCCGGACACAAATAATAGCTTTGGGGTAACAAAATTGGCACTATGCACGTGGGACAAGCTGCTGTCGTTGCCGTTTTTTGGTTGTTTGACCGTTTTCTGTTTCGATTTCGGCCAGTTTTTCGTCGGTACGTACCATTCTGTTGCTCGATGGATATTTTAATCACCGCTAAAATGAGAAATTTGCAATTATTTTTAAGAAAAACGTGGAGAAACAAAATTTGTGCACATACCTCGCCGGAAACGAAAGAAAAAGAAGGATGAAGTGTGACCAGAGTGGTTGTGTGAAAAATATACTAAATTACACCGCAAATATACCATAAATACACAAATCTCTGTGGTGGATGAATTGGAACGGAATAAGCGTGGACTCGAATCTTAGTACACTGCTTTATTGGTCTAAATCGTTGAAGACAAAGTATAATTATAATTGTACCTACGAATTTTTTTAAATTAGTGTTTAAAAATTACATACATTTTTTATGTGCGAATGTAAAACACCTTGTTTTCTAATGAGTAATTAATAGTGAAGGAATGTATTTGATTTAGTTTTAGGTTCGGTAAATAATAATTTAAATAATAAGATAAGATAAGAAAAATAATTTGGTAATACGGCGTGAATGTGCGTTTCCCAAATGTACTCGAATTTGAATTACAAAACATTTCTTCGATTGCAGATCACGTTTGGAGACTCCATTTTTCTATGTTTTTAGTCTCCGAACTCTCCACATGGTTTGAGTCATCGCTAAGTGTGTTGTCCATTTTGAAATTTCACTTTTATTTAGTATATCTGAGTATATGGTATATTTTACCGAGAACCGCGGTATATTTTAGCAATCCGCTCAGGGTCACACTGGTTCTTATCGTTGTTGCTTGTGCTTTTCAATCGCGGATGTGTGCTTTTCGATCTCGCGATCTCTAATTTCTTAAGCAATATATATATGTACATAGTGCACAGTGGCAGCGGAGAAAGAAAAAACAACTGCATATCATATGCGATATAGCAAGCGTTTGTGTAAGTGTGCGTGGGTGTGCGAATAACAAATAATACGAAATGAACGACCAAGAGAAGCAACACCAACAACAACGGTACTTTCAAAGCGAATGGAAGACTACCGCTAATAGTCATGGAAATTCGTTATCAGACAGCCGGGATTATGATACCAACTCGTCGCGCAATTCGCTCTCCGGCTCCCCGCCCGTCGCCTCGAATTGCTCCTCCTCCGGTTCCCTGGACTTCGACAGGCCTCTGGCCCAGTTGCTCCACCCAAAACTGGAGGCCGACGGGCTGGGCATCATACATGGGGATAACTACAGCATCTACGGCAGCCAGACGGCGGAATCCACCAGCGGCGAGCAACAGGTGCTTAATCTGGGCCTCTCCCTGGACTCGGAGGACGTCCACGCGACGTATGGTGCCCTATTCGGTGCCCAAGATCAACTCACTGCATCTCAAACTCACGCCCATTCACAAATGGTTCCTGCGGCAGCGGACAACGCTTTTCCGCTAGCGGATCAACTAACACCATTACCCATCACGGTCATACCCATCACATATCACCATACCACCGAGAATCTCAGCTCCAGCCACGCTGAAGTTCCGCTGATAGCCAGTCTGAGCGATAGCACCGCTCAGGTGTTCAATCTGGATGACATCTGCTTCACGCTGGAGTACCAGTTCGAGAACCAGAGACTCGTCCAGGTCCAGCCGCCCACTGTGGTCTCGCTCAGCATGGTATCCAGCCCCAACGAGGGTGCAAATCCCACAATCAACTGTGATAATGACCAGGGAACTGGAAACAGCATCTCTAGGGACTCCACATCCAATTCTCCAGCTTATTTCACAATTGAGACGAGGTACTGCCCACTTGCATGCATGTACACCCTTCGCTGCATGAGTGTTCTATGGTTTGCATGTGTTTGAAATTTATTTGCTTAGGCATGGTGTTTTACAGATTTTATAAGAAGAACCCGTTCTGGAATTGCCGAGTTGTTAGTGAACCAAAGTTAACTTTGCAAAGGTCGTAAAAAGAAAAGATTAACCATTATAAAAAAAAAGTTTAGAAACGCTTGATTTGCGTTTAAGGATGTATAATTTTGAGATAAATGAAAGTCTGAATTTGAATTTTCTCTACTATATATTGCCTTAAAAAATCGGTTCTCGAAACTTTGTATGTGTGTATGCGCATTGTATATGTATATATCGAAGCAAGAATTTTGCCATACGGTTTTAAACAAAATTCAAGGAAAATTATCGAATTCAAAAAATAAAAATAAATCATAACTCTTGGCAAAGCATTTTTTTGCGATATTGAATTCGGTTCAGGCTTTGAGCACATAATTAATTAATTAAATTTATAATGACCACAGCAGATTTTCACTGAGTTATGATTAGAGGACAGAATTATGAAATATATAACACATACATTTTTTGCCAATATTTAACATAATGGCAGGCATTGAGTTCGTTTGATTGCCTTACGAAAAAGTCACTTCATTTTCGATTTGCCGCACAAGCCAGAACGGGAATAATAATTGCATATTTTCAGTGTCATGTATGAGTGGATTAGTGTTTGTGTTTCTGTCGCATTTTGGCCAATTATAGTGGGCCGTCAGGTGTGCCTTGCCCTCCGCATTCTGACCCCCGCCAGGGACACCACCACCACCACCACCCCTGCCCCTCGTCGCAGCTAATTTTCCACTACCCACACACAAAAAGATTCGAGAGAGCGGAAAAAAGGAAAACATTTTCCTAGCGTCTGTCGTGACGTGTCCAATTTTTTTTCATTCTATTTCACTTTTTGTTTGGCTCCCTCGAAAAAAGAAGAGGCTAAAATCCAATTTTCATATTTTCTTCCTTGTCGAGAATTTGTGTTGGCAAATTTCAAGCGTTCCAATGTCCACTTGTTACAACGCGGTGTCCGAATCGCTTGCAAGTTGTTTGCTAATTGCCCGATTCGTGTATTTGGCCTGTTGCATTCTGCACACGGCAATCGACTCGACCAGCGCCGTACCCTCGGACTTCGATACCCACTAGACCGTGTGCCAATGGGCATCATAATGTCTGCATGCCTTTGGGTCTCCACTTCGGCCGATGATTGTATCGAAAATCATTTGTTTGGTCTAAAAATAGTTGCGCCGATGAACGCATTTAGATTTCTACCCCCACCCCAATTGCCGACCAGAATGTATAGATGGATATATGCATACATAGATGTATATTTCTATGGTGTGTTAGGCGAAGACGACTGAAAATTTCCCCAAAACTCATTAACACTTGATGTAAAGATGCCGGTTTTTTAGAAGATGCCACATTGTAGCGCCTTCTATTGTGAAATTCTCCCCCTAAGACGTTGCTCCTCAAAAGTGCGATTTGGCACTATAAAAAGTTTTCTCTACCTAAGTATTCTATTTTTCCCAAAGGGTAAAACTGGTAAATGTCTCATAGGTCTTTATTCCCTAGATTAAGCTAAATAACATGTACAGCGATGGGGCTTTTATTAAAAACAAAATAAATCAGTTCTCCCGACACTTAGTTCACAATTTCGCGATAAGTCACGAATGCTGAAGGGTTTACACAATGTTTACTCGTATTTCAATAGATATGATTGATACAGGAAATCGACTGATTAGAAGTACGGGTTAATAGTACTACTAGTCCAGCTAGTACGTCGAGTACCCAATTGATGGAAAACTCTTCAAATGATATGGAAATTGGTCATAAACTACATTTTCCCGTGGCTAAGTCCAAATGATCTGTTGTGATGGGGTTAGTCCGCTCTGTGCCACATTGTTGTTGCTCTTCGCTTGCTCATTATTCTGCGGTACAATAATTTTTCAATTTTTCATCCCTGCCTTGCTTGTTGTTTAGCACTTTCCTTCCATCCGACCTCCCCGCTCGGCGACGACGCCCTCTTGCTATTTTTACCGCCATGAGTAGTGTTCCCTCAATCATATTTCTCATTTTTCAGTACTCCCGCGATTAGAGGGAGGGGTATCTCGATGGGTGAGCCAGCCGGTGGTAAAAGGAAGGGTCTGGGGGACGCACGCTGTCCGTCAGTCAGCCTGCCAGCCGTCTCAGCACCCACGCACTTGTTGTACTGCTTCCCTCGAATTTTCTTTATAGTTTCGGTTGCCGTCTGCAATTTTATTTTGCCATTTGTTGTGTTTTGACCATGACAACATTAAATATTAATTAATCTGATTAGTAAGGACAGAAAAGCCTCCAGGGAACGCCTGTTTTTCGGGTGTCATTTCTATGTACTTTGTTTGCTGTTGATGTTTTCGCTGACGCTCTAACCCCACTAATCGCAATCTGTGCAATTTGCATTTATGTATAAATGTATATATGTATATATATATGTATACTTGTTGCGTTTATAATTATATACAAAGATCTTAACGGCCCACTGACACACAAATCGGATGGAATATATGCCCCACCCGATGCGATTTGCTGTTCTCTGTTTGTTTCCAACTGCAAATTCGATAAATTCCCTCGTTGGTCTTTCCCCCGCTCGATCTGATCTTCCAGCTATGTGGATGAGTACGATCCAAATGAGCCGGACGAGGACGAGCAGCTGGCCCACTGCATCCAACCGGGCGTTCTGCACCAAGATGTCGATGAGGAGGAGGAGGAGGAAAGGCAGGACGAGAACGATCAGCTAATGGCGTTGGCCTACGAGGTACCCACACCCAATAACCAACCGCTAGTCAAAGTGTCTAACGTGCCTTACGTTGCCTAACGCTTTTTGTAGCGACTCGCCATGCTAATCCTAGTGCTAGCGGAGATTCCGATTCCTGCGATTCCGCTGTAGGCGTGTGTAACCAAGTTTTGTTAACCAACTAGTGGTGCGTAGTGTTGGCTTAATTCGAAGGCTGTCCCTTAACATATCACTTACCAGTGTCCAGCATGCATCCACCTCATCATAATTGTCACATTCCAAGGAACATGCACATGCATATATTAACCACTTAGCTAGTGCAATGAATCTGATCTAATAGCATTGTTATACTTGCCATTTAGAGTTCGGATGAGGCTCTCAGTCGCTATAGATGCAACTATGAGAACTGTTATCGCAGCTACAGCACAATTGGAAATCTGCGAACGCATTTAAAGACCCACACGGGTGAGTATACTTATATACACAATTACATTGGTATCATTTTTAGTAAATTACGCTCGTCTACATCGCTTGATTTCGCCACTGGCAAAGTTGAGCACTTTCAGTTGTATATCTCTTCGAGTGCTTTCGTCCACGCCATCCAAAATACTCTCCAGATACTTGTAGAAGGGATCTTGCGGCTCCGCCGGCTTTTCCTTCAAGGCACTCTCGATGAGTCTCATTACGCTCATGAACTTGGATTGAGTTTGGTTCAGTCCTTCGCCAGTTAAGCTAGGCTTTGTTTCGTAGAGCAGCTCGCTGCTTGTATTGCACGCTGAATCCTCTGAGACAAACTCCGCGTTGGAGTTATCCGTCCCACTGAGACACTCCTCCTCGCCTTTGTACTCAATTACAAACTCGTCCGTTGGAAATTGAGTGATGCAGTATCGTTTAAAGGATGGTTCATCCGCCGACTTGCTGTCCTCGGTTTCTCTAGCCACAAGCGTTGTATCGCACACTTCTTTCGGCTTCCTAACATAAAACACGCACATTACAACCATTTCAAAGATGCGTATATTGAGTAAATGGAGAACCTTCTGGTTCTTATGTGTTCCCTGAGGAAATCGAGCTCTTCGAACCTATGAATACTGCTCCTTGGGAAAGCGAGCTTTTGCATTTCCCTCACATAACGATCTCGTATGGTCTTCCATCTAACTTGACAGTGCTCAACTGCAATCTCAAATTTATAAAATCTCGTACACATCATTTAATGGAAATGATATAAACACCTGATCTCTGGCAAGTTTGGGCCACTGCAATCCACGCCTGCTTTCGATCATATTTAGTGTGGTATTTCTCGAATATAGAAACGTTGCGCTTCACACTTGCAATAAGTAGAGTGTCAAAAGCGTCCATACTGATGTGATGGGATTTTTTTTTAAAACCAATTTTCGTTTTTGAAGAACCTTTGCGCTTTTGCGTTGCGTGATAAAATGAACGCTGACAAACAGCTGATAAGCGATAGGTGTTTTGCAACACTAATGGGACAGTGGTGTAGTCCAGCGAATTGATAGGGGGATAAAAGCACACAAGTGTCTTAAACTAATGCTGCGTTCATTTAACGCAGTTAATAAAATAATAAATAAACGGCGAATATTCTTCAAACTTATGATTCGGCGGAATCCCAGAAATAAAATGAAGTGCTTAATAAGTTGCGTTTCTGCATTTTTTAAAATCAAAATTTTTTGTACATAGGTGGAGCATAGGAATTTAGTGATGGGAAAAATAGCGTTTGACGTTTTTTAAATCGATATCTACTCGATAGACGGGATATCGCGATCATTTAAAAATGTATTTTTGTGCTTTTCATAATTGACAAAAGATAGTTTGTTGAAGCACATTGTGCTAATAATTATAGACTCATTGTGGACTTTTCAAAAGAGTAGCAGCCACCTAATACAAAGTTTATTCGCTTTTCAGGCGACTACAGCTTTAAATGCCCGGAAGATGGATGCCACAAGGCCTTCCTCACTTCCTACAGCCTGAAGATCCACGTCCGCGTCCACACGAAGGTGAAGCCATACGAATGCGAGGTGTCCGGCTGCGATAAGGCGTTCAACACGCGCTACAGGTGAGTAATCATCCACTTCGGTGGACTGATAGCCTCCGGAATAAACCAATGGCTGCAGAGCTCAATAATCTGTCATCAACGTCGCCCGATCCACCAACAGATTGCACGCCCACCTTCGCCTGCACAATGGCGAGACGTTCAACTGTGAGCTGTGCCAGAAGTGCTTCACCACGCTGAGCGACCTGAAGAAGCATATGCGCACGCACACCCAGGAGCGGCCGTACAAGTGTACAGAAGATGACTGCGGCAAATCATTCACCGCCTCGCATCACCTGAAGACCCACCGAAGGACACATACCGGAGAAAAGCCGTATCCCTGCCAGGAGGACAGCTGCCAAAAGTCATTCAGCACATCGCATAGCCTAAAATCCCACAAGAAGACTCACCAGCGGCAGTTGCAAAACAAGGGTCGCAAGAAACGGCCACTAAAGACGCAGCAGATCAAGTGCAGCGATCAGGAGCAGAAGGATTCACAGCAGGAGGAGCACGAGGAAGAGGAATGTATTAAAGAGGAACAGCCCGAGATGACGCTGTTAAATCCAGGCAGTCATTGCTCCGAAACCACCAGCACAGATAGCGGAGTGGTGTTGCAAACGCTTACGCCGCAGGATCAGTTGTCCAATGTGTTCATCCTCCAGGGTGACGAGCCTCTCATACTTCCAGAAACATCACAGGCCTACCAGCTCTCCTACGCCGCCGAGGAGGAAATACCCAGTCCGTGGATTGACGCTGGCGTCCTCGTCTCCAAACCCATCATTCCCATGGCTCCGCTGACGGATGCCTGCGTGGCCCTGCCCACCGAGATGCCCAGTTTCGTGAACCTGAAGCCCACATTCGGCAATGCAGTAAGCGGCAACATGGGAGACCCGCAGGCGGAAACCATGGATGTGGATCCCGCAGTGGAGCCCTCGCTGCCCACACCCACCTTGGAGTTGAATCAGCCAAATATCGAAGAGCTGCTTAAGCAGGACAGCTTCGAGAACGAGGAGGACATGGAAACGGAGTCGCTCTTGAACGACATACTCATGACCATCGACAACAACAGTGCCCTACTGCAGGCAACACTGCAGCAAGCTTCCCAGGTACCAAGCGATGCCTCCGGCTTGGTGGAACTAGACATTCGGGACAACAAGCCGACACTAAAGCAGATCACAGCGGATGCGGGCATCTGCAATTGCACCAACTGCAAGTGCGATCAGACAAAGAGTTGTCACGGTGGCGACTGTGGTGCTGCAGCTGCTCAAAAGACCACCAGGACTACCGCAGCCACAACCACAACGACAACGTTGAATTCCAGCGGTGGCAAACGCATTTGCGGCAGCGTGGCGCCCACCAAAAAAGTGAGTAAACGCGAGGCGGAAATGAACCAGAACATCGAGGATGTTGCTTTGCTGCTGCAAAACCTTGCTTCCATGGGTAGTGGTGGCTCCTCCGGCGGTGGCGGCGGTTGCTGCGGCGGGGGTGGTGCCGCCAAGCCAGCATCTTCAGCTGGGGGCTGCTGTGGACAGCCAAAAGCTCCGAAACCCGTAAATACCGGCTGCGGTTGTGCCCAGCCGAGTGCCTCCTCCTCTGGTGGTTGTTGCGGCAGTGGAGCTGCTCCTACTCCAAAACCATCGGGTAGCTGTTCGGGCGCCCAGAATCCAGCTCCAACTCCTCCCACTCCCACGTCAGCAACTGGTTGCTGCTCTGGCAAGGGAAAAGTGCAGGAGCCGCCGGTCATTAGCAGCGCTTCTTCAGCTCCCGCTCCCGCCGTCAAGGGCAACGCCTGCACATGCAAGAGTCCGGCGGAGGGCGTGGCCAACGGCTGCTGCGTGGTGATCTGCATTAAAACGCTGCAAGCTCTACGCAAAGTTCTGACGCGCCGGAATCTAAATCTAATGCTTTGTCCACAGCAGAACTAAACCAAAAACTACTTATGTACACTAATCCCAATGCAACAAAAACCGACCAACCAAAATCCAAAAGCCCTGAGATCGGATATCATGTAATCAAACTGGTATTGAGCCTGTAAAAAGTATTTTCCCCACAAAAAAACCAAAAAAGTTAACAAAAATTAGCAAAGTGCATTTAAGTGAAACGATTCAATCATATGTGATCCCAGCGGAGGCTGGCCGCGCTACAACTTACATACAAAAGTTATCCCAAACCTATTATAATCATTCAAAACCCAACATTATCTAGAATCCCAAAGCAGCTTCCGGTGAGCAGACAAAGAGCTTTTCGCAATTTGTCGGCGATGAGTCAAACATTGCCATAAATACAGTGTGCGAGGATATGTCGGCCTTATCGGGCAATAAAACATGGCAGTCTACGAAGTATACGCCCAATTTATACATACATATGTTGATTAAAAGCCGTCTGTTCCCTATAGTCTAAGGCTCTTACTTGTTTTTGTATCATTTTAATGTTTAACACGTTGAATTTCTTTGAGTTTATCTACAACTAACAAATATAATTTATTACTACCCCAGATCAAAAGCAATCCATGCCTTACGGACGTAATATTTATGAGGAGGGTGATTTTGTTAAACTATATCAAATGTAACAGAATACTTTTGTGTGTGTTTTTATATCGAGTTTATGACGCTTTATATCATGCCAAATATGAACAGAAACATATTTTCCACTGTTTTCTTATATACCCAAATTAAATCATCTGTATAAAGTCGAATAAAACATAAAACTAAACTTGTTGTAACGATTCTTATTGCTCCAATATTGCTGTTGCCGCTGTTGCGCTCCTGTGGATGCTGCTTGTTGCTCCTGCTCCTACTGCCGCTGCTGCTGCTGCTGTTGCTTTTGCTCCGGAATGTGGACTGGCGAGTAGGGTCCAACGACAAACGCAGATTACTAGATGCTAACTTCTATACAGAATGTGCTTTTATTGACCCCCCTAATGAAGAACTCATAGTTTGGCGCTCTGATCCACTGATCCACCAATGTTTTCTAATCCTCGCCAGCTGGTATGACCTCCTCTAGACGCCGCACGAACTTAACGCGCAGTTCCGTCACATTGTCGCCCTTCAGTTGATCCTGCAAAAAGGACACCCAGCCACACACGCACACACAATGCACACTAGACCATTAGCCAACAATGAAAAGTGCCAAAGCGTAACTATAGAAGACTTGCCTGCACAAACCAGCACTGCACCTCCAGCTGCACCATCTCCAGGGCGCCGCGGATGCAGCCGCTGAGTATGGCACTGTAGCGCAGATTGGTCAGGTCCGGCGGCAGCTCGACGAACTCCGTCAACGGGTTGCTGTCGAACACCAGGGAGAACTCATCGGAGGCCGGCGACCAGTTCGAGATGGTGGGCTGGATGTTCAGGTAGATGCGGAACGCCTGCTGGATGCGATCGGCCGTCTCGCGCATCTCCAGGCAGCGGGGCGCCGATGTCCTGGCCAGAAAGTCCTCGATCAGTCGCATGCCCATGTTGTAGCCGATCCGCTCCAGCTGCTTGTTCACGTCCTCGGCATTCTCGAAGTCGCGCAGCATCTGGGTGACGAGTGCCCCGTAGGTGAGTGTCAGGAACTCCGAGTTCTGCGTTTTGTTTTTTGTACAAAGGAGGAAGAGAGGAGTGCAGAAAGCAAATAAATATCAATCCAGAACCAGATTAAAGCGTTTTATGGGCCGGTACCATATACAACATTATAAAGTTCCACAGTAAAAGTATATGTTTTTAAATTTATAAACAAAGTGCTGTATTTATTATGCGTCATATTGATTGCATTCTTATGTCCTCAATGGTGCTTTGAATTTTGATTGTTGAATTTGTCGGTGACTATTAAAGTCATTTCCCCATTCCATTTAAAAATGAATTATGAAACCTATATTAATGATTGCCGTTTTCGTGTAAATTTCGATGTCTAGTAAGTAAAATAATTTCTCTATTAAATAATTACATATTTCAAACAATAATCAACAGCTGGCCAACAGAAAAAAAGTTGCATGTTTTTGAAAAAATTAAATAAATATTTAGAAGTATAAACGATTTGGAAATGAATTATATTACAATTACAACTATCAACTGGAAAATTTCACTTTTCCAATCTAAGTAAATGACAAAAAATTGAAAAACTAATAATGTAATAAAGTTCCACTTGGAAAATAATATACGAAAAGGCTTAATTTGGAAATGAACCATGTGAGCCGAATTAAAGTGGTGTGTTTGAGGACAAGAGGACACAGAGCGTTTGGCTTAGTACTAAAAACTACGATCTAGTCTAGTTTGTATCTACAGCTAGGAGGCGATTATTCCGATTTTATCGCTGTTATGGTAATGCTTGGCGTTTGATGTGGCGCGATTAGTTTCGGTGGAGCGCGGGCCGTGCCTCGGCTGAGGGTGACGCCGCCACTGGGCGTCATTGGCATGCTGCCGCCTTCCGGACCGGACGAGTCCTGATCGCCCTTCTCCTGCGCCGAATGGAAGCGACCACCCTCGCCACGAGCTCGATTCATGGCGTGGCGATGGCGAGATTCGTGCAGATACTTGCAGCGCTCCTTGGGAATGCGGGACTCCAGCTTGGCCCTGGCCTGCCGCCGAATGAGGATACGTTTGTACTGCTTGGCATTCACATAGAGCGGCTCCTCATCCGCCTCGCCTTTGGAGCTCTCGTCCTCGCTGTTCGTATTCGTTCCAGTGGTACTTGTGCTGACATCAGCGCTTATATTATTGACTGCAGCACTGGCCGCCACCGCCGCCGCCGTCTGCTGTTGCTGCTGCTGCTGGTTTTGGGCCTGGGATTGTACTTGCTGATGCTGCTGCTGCTGTTGGGTGACCACTGTGCCAACTCCCGCGCCTACTCCGGCATTGGCGGCCGCTGCATTCACCGCTGCCATCGCTGTCTGCGGCACCATGATGATCTGTTGCCCAGCTGTGGGTGCCGACTGATTTGCGCTCGGTGCTGGATTGATTTGCACCAGCTGCCCGTTAATGTTGAGATAGTGCGGCGCCGGCTGGGCTGCCATAGCAGCTGCAGCGTTGGCCGCTGCATTCGGATCCAAGGCGGCAATGGTGGGCGTCTGATAGAATATGGTCTGGCCATCGGGCAGCTGCATCACCTGCATCTGTGGCTGCTGCTGCGCAGCCTGTAGCATGATCTGGTTGGCCTGCAGCGGTATCAATTGAGGCTGAAGGCCTGTCGCCCCAGTCTGACCCTGTGGCTGCTGACCAATTATGATTTGGGCTGCTCCGGCGGGCAGCATGGGCATGGGTATCACTTGGATGGGTTGGGCCGTTGCTGTGGCATTTGTGGCTCCTCCGGCTGCAGTATTTACATTCAAATTGTTGCCGGTTGTGGCATTGTTGTTGTTGTTACTGCTGCTGCTGCTATTGTTGTTGGTGGTGGCGGCAGCGGCGGCACCGACGGCGGAGGCGGTGGTGCACATTCTGGGCGTGGCTGAGGGGCGGCTGGTGGCGCTGAAATGGTTTTCCATTGCCCGATTGCTCGGCGATTTGTGCCTGTCTGTGTCGTGTCTCAACCTCAAGCCCTCAACACACACACACACACACTTACTGGAAAAGTGAATGAAGCCGATTTTGAGGGTGGTTGGCACGTCAAAGATTCGTTCTTAGGCACTAGGGCACAAATCTAACCTTACAACTAGATCTATGCTTCTAAATGGCTAACGATACCGAACTGCCGCTGTTCTCTCTTTTTGGCCAACTTACCACTTTCTTGGCGTCCAAACGGGAGGCTTGTCGCGACATTTTCCGGCTGTTTACGTTGTGATTTGTACAATTGAAAATAAAATTCTCTGTTTTCCCAGTTTTACAGAGCAGGGTTGTCAGGGTACAGTGCTAGGGCACAGTAACATGGGCTAGGGTTGCAGGCTCTGTGCATATCGATTATCAGTCACGGCAAAAATGAAAATATCGAAGTCGCAGTTATCAATGAAAATTATTAGTAGTTATACAAGTTATAAGTTAATAAGTTATAAGAATATTAATATGGTTATCCAAAAATAAACCTCAATATAAAAAATTACATGTTTTAAATTCCGTAAAAGAAGTGAGTGACGAAATAATTTTGAAATAAATTGCTTCCTTCAAGCTTAAGAAATAAGCTCCTGATCAGAGAAAGTATGAAGTGCTGCAGCCCTGGGAAAACCTATCCCCAATTTTAGCCATTTATTGTATTGCATTTTGCGGAGGGTATTTTCCATAGGGTCTAGACATGGTCACACTGCTGTAGACAACTGCATAAACATTTCATCCAGGTGAACAAAAAGTAAATAAAGAACAATTTCGACCGCACCGCAAACAAACGGCGAGCATTAAGAAGAAACTCCACAACGATGGCTTCATTTTTCAACGTTGGCGCCTTGGGAAATGTTTTCTCCACTCCAGTTGGCCAGCGCATAGGTGAGTAAACCCCACACCCCTCTCACCGTTTACAAAAACCACCCACCTAAAGCGGGGGTGTGTATATGTGGTTAAATCGTCACATTTTCCTCAAATACAACGCATATGCGTTGATATTTGCGCATTTGCATTGCTAGTTATCTGATTAGACGACGCTAGACGCCAGTCCCAATCAGACTGAGCCATTGGAAAATTGAATTTTCACAACTTTCTTCGTGCGTTTGCTTGTTTTCCTGTTTTGTTGTTGCTCTCTTACACTGACACACACACAATCACACACATTTCCATGTACCGATACTGATTTGTTGTTGCCAGACCATTACTATGGCAAAGCGGTCTGATTTGATTTGAAAGGCGGTGGCAACGGTGAGTTTCTGATAAGATTAACCCTTACGTGGGTAAGCGGTTCCAACAGGCAGGTGTGACAAAGCAGATAAATGTTTGTTGGTATGTTTTATGGAATTGCTCACCATTGGCACGCACACAAATGGTTTTGTTATTGATGCGCTCTTGTTTTGTTTGATTGACTCTTTCGCCTACCGCCTGTCCCCTTATTTTGCGCCCTTAGTAATGGCAATTAGTCATCGTTGCCTCTGGCCGTTGGGTTACATAAAAAATGTGTTAATTTATTTCGCGTTCCCCTTTGGCTCGCATTTTCGCCATAATTTCCATTTGCCGCCGCACACAAACACGGATGCACACATTTACCTGGTCGCATGCATTTGTATTGGTGCCGTACTAATTTGTTGCTTCGCTTTTTTATGAGCTCACATTTTATTGTTGCCTTGTGGTTAGCTTTTCACATATGTATCTCTTATATCTATATCTGTTGGACGATATCTGATATCCGAGAAATACATTGCGCGCGAGGGATTCGTTTGGATTTAAACAAGTTGCATTTATGCCTCTTGTTTGTGCGTTTCAATTTGAGCAAGTCATTGCACTCGGAAGAGCTCAAGTGATATACGAAAGATAATGCTCGCCCACCTGTTTACAACACACAGTTTCAGCCGCCCATTAAAATAAACAAAGGAATGCAAATTGTTTACTTGGGTTTTCACACAGGCAGCGATCAAAATAATTACACATTTCGGATCAAAAACCGCACAATTTACTACTTGCATTATCATCAAATATATTGTCATTATTAAAATGTAACGAGCATTTTCAAAAATAAGATACAATTTTCAAAAAAATTGAGGGAACTGGAGTTGACTGCAGCTAACTTATTATCTTTATATGACGTGAAATTCAAATATTGTTGCGGTTTTTAAATTTTTAACTAATACCCTACCTGCTCCTCTTTCAGAGGCCGCCACCGATGCCAACCTGGCCTCGGAGAACTGGGCCGCCAACATGGAGATCTGCGACATGATCAACGAATCCTCGGACACAGCCCGTGATGCCATGCGTGCCATTCGCAAGCGCCTCTCCCAGAATGCCGGCAAGAACAACCAGGTGGTGATGTACACGCTGACCGTCCTGGAGACGTGCGTGAAGAACTGCGGCAAGGCCTTCCATGTCCTGGTGGCCCAGAAGGACTTCATCAACGAGCTGGTCAAGCTGATTGGGCCCAAGAACGATCCGCCAGCTGCCATGCAGGAGAAGGTTCTCAGTCTGATACAGATCTGGGCGGATGCGTTCAAGAACCAACCGGATCTCAACGGTGTCACTCAGATGTACATGGAACTGAAAAACAAGGGCATCGAGTTTCCAGCCAACGATCTGGATGCTATGGCACCCATTTACACACCGCAGAGGGTGAGTCCCTAACGCATTCTCGTTACTTTAAACATAATAAATGCTATCATACCCCATTCAGAGCGTTCCCGAGATGCCTCCTCAGATGGTGGCCGCTCAGCAGCACACAATCTCGCCCCAACACATGGCTGCCGCTGCCGCCGCCGCTGCTGCAGCATCAGCTCCAGCCAGCACAGGTCCATTGCATTTGACTCCAGAGCAAGCGGCTAAGCTGCGTTCCGAATTGGAGATCGTTAGCAACAATATGTCCATTCTGAGCGAGATGCTCAGTGTTCTGAAGCCCGGCCAGGAGTCGCCCGATGACTATGCCCTGCTCAACGAGCTCACCTCTACCTGCAAGGAGATGCAGTCTCGCATTGTGGATCTAATTGGACGTGTCCAGGACGACGAGCTTACCGCGGAGTTCCTGCGCATCAATGACGAGCTGAACAATGTGTTTTTGCGCCACCAGCGTTACGAGAAAAATCGCTCGCAAGGCCAGGGAGCTGGTGTTACCTCGCCGTCGGCGGTGCTTGGCGCAGCCATGGGCCTGCCCGGTGTGGGAGCAGCTGGGGCAGGAGCCACCACGGTGGCCACGCTACCACCTCCGCCCACAACTACCGCCGTGAGCAACACGCCGCAAAGTGACCAACTGCTAATCGATCTAATTGAAAGCAGCGAGGAAGCCCAACTGCCACAGAGTTTAGGAGGGCTCAGTCTGGGCGGCGGAGCATCCACTGCAGTGCAGAGGGGGGCACGACCTGCCGATGAATTCGATATGCTTGCACAGTCGCGCACCGATGGCAACCAGTCAGTATAGAGTGCTTTCTAATTGAGCTCATCAAGTATTAACGATAGTTCCTTTTAGCAAATCGGACTTGCTAAGGGACATTCCCTCAGTGGACGCTGCTGCTGGGAGTGTGACTGCCGCCGCCTCGCCTTATAAACCGAATCAGCCGCAGCAGGCACAGCGTTCAGCCGGCGAACCGCCGGTGGTAAGTAAAGTGAGTAACTAGCCGCCGGGCACCCGGTCTAACTAATGGCGTTCGATTTGTTCCCTTACGTTTTGGCCTCGTTTTCGCCATTGATTTAACTTTGAATTTAAATTTGAAAAAATGTTTTGGTTCTTTTGTTCTATGCAAATTGCGTTTGGTTTTCGTTTCGTTTTGTTGTTCGGTTGGCGCCCACACACAGTCGACGAAAGAGAATGAGATCGACGAAATGGAAGCGTGGTTGGGCAGCTCAGTAAGTAGCCATTCGAATAGCACTTTGCCTTTTTCTAAGCTCATCTTACCATGCACTCGGCTTCAGTTTCTCGAATTACACATACTCTTCTGTTGCTTATTTGCTTCTGTCACCCTATTCCGTATATTTAACATGACTAATGAGGCATTTGTTTCCACCACACAGCACATCGAGGGAATTGAGGAACTGACCAGCTCCGAGTTTGACAAATTCCTAGAGGAGCGAGCCGCTGCCGCCGAAAATCTTCCAACGATCAGTGCATCGAACTCCGCCGCCGCCAGTGCAACGACAGGATCGGCAGGAGCCGACAGCTTACGAAAGACACCAAAGAAACCGGGCGCCGAGGAGGATCTGCTCGCGCTCTGAGTGATCTCCTCCAGCACCATCATCGGCTCTAATTGTTTACTCTTTCAAATGTTATACACACCCTAACATACTTATCCATAACGTCTATTTGATAGCAGATACATATTAACACTTTATGTAAAATGCTTTTAATTTTTACAAAAACCGCAACGATAACTATTGATTATATTCCAAAAAACAAGCGATCTTTTGTTGGTCTAATTGTAAGCCACTTCTACACATTGATGGTAATTTAATGTATTACGTTAAAAGTCTATTTGTTGTTTATTTATACATATATACATACATTATAAAGCTAATTTATTTTACAAAATCGAACGATCGAAAAGAAAAACTAAAACAAAAAGTAAATACATTTCAAGCACATACCGAAGACGAAATGCTTTATAATTAATACTACTAAGGGGCTTAATCAGAGTCATTATCATCATCTACATTCATGGCTTGAGTGGCTGCTCCGTAGGCTTCGTCCTCTTCATCAGAAGAAGTCCTTTGATTATTCTTTCCGCTTGAACCCTTCTTTTCCAACTGACTCTCCAATTCCCTAATGTGGGCCTTCTTGCTGTTCAAAAGCAGCAGAAATTTCTTGAGAAGTTCCTGCTCCTTCAGCTTGCTCTCCCTCACATACTTTTCATATTCGGCCAGAGATGTGGTTATCTGTGCCTCGGATTCGGAATCTGGAGCTGCTTGAGGCTTCTGCTGACCAGCTTCGATGGCGGCATCCAGCAACTGGTAGCAGTTGGACACTTTTCTCAGCGGAACATCCAAATACAGAGTCTCGTATCCCTCGCATTTGTACACTTTGAAGGCTGGTTTCTCGGCATCCTCCAGGCATATTTCATAATCGAATCCTCGGAGTCCCATGTGCGTGGTTAGTGCATTCTTGCACTCTGCAAAGAAGGCATCGTAGGGCTGCTCCAATTCGCTGGCTCCATTCCGCAACTCATCGTATTTTAGACTGGAGCGGTAGTTTTGATTATCACAAGTTAATAAGAAGTCAAGCTCCACGTCGTCGTCCATCCATTTGCTTCGGACATAAATAAAAGGCTTTACGTCTATTTGACTATGTGAAAGCTGAGAGCGTTGAAGTAATTTAACCACAAAGGTAGACATTATTTCCAATATTTTAGTTTCACAACTGAATGTAAACAACTGTTGCGGGGTTTTTGAAAACAGCTGATTGAAACTGGGTTGTCAGATTGATTACAGGTACATACATATGTATGTACATTTCGTAATGCATCCTCTGCGTATGAATAATACTTTGAAAATTTATCTGATAACTTTAACACGACGCATATATCAGCAAAAATTAATGAAATAAATATATCTTCGAATATTACCGAGAGCTTAATTATTGCATTAACAGTCGATATACAACCCTTCTATATATCAACCCATTGTTCCGCAAGCACTTTGCAGCACTAGACGTTCTAAAATATCGATATCGATTTCTTAGCGATATCGATTTAAAGTGTTTTAAGTTAGTACAAAGCCAGTGCGAGGAATTAAACAAATTAAACGCGCAGCGCCCTTATTGTTTGTCCTCTTTTTAGTGTTTTACTCGATTCGGAACCCACAATGCTTGACAACCTCGTGGAATTCGCCAGTTACTGGTGGTTTCGATACCTCATGGTACGTAATGGCCATTAAATTACGCATATATTTCACTTGAGAAGCTGCGCTCCATGGGATTCCGAATTAAATGCACCACCCCATTAACTTGCAGGTCACTGAGCTGTACATGGTGGAAAAGTGGGAGCGGATAACGATACGTGAGTGTTAATTGCTGGGCAAATAGCAAACCCTTAAAAAACTTGGGAATATCCGGCGGACTCGTCATGCTTTTGGAGAATTTACACGCTTATCAGGGTTATTATTGCTCTCGATTTATTGCAGACGTAATTTTCATGGTACTCTTCTGCGTTTTCTGGTACTTCAACTACTCCGTGCTGCTCTCCCTGGCCGGCTTGATTGGACCCACAAGTGCCTCAATGGCGGATATTATTCCCGGAGTTCAAGGACAAGGCCTCAAGGTCACCTAAAATACCATTCAGACCATGCCCACAGCCCACCCGTGTGTACTGTTCTCCGTTCCAATATCCAAAATAGCCGCGTATCTGTACCTCGCCGCGAAGCTTTATCTAATCCGCACGCGTTTATACACCGCAATCAATGAATGGAACGTAGCTATAGGCGACACATGTCCAAAGAGGCGATGTAATCGCCTGTTGATCCGAATCTGAAGTGGACAATACCCGGCGACTGTCCATCATTAGCTGCCTCACCGTTTAATGTAGTTATCTAGCTGTAGTTACACGTTTAAAGTCAGTTAATAAATCTAACGCTTACACAATCGCACTGTGAAATAGTTCAAAAATGATAAATGATATATATACGCAAGTGTTGCATTGTTTTCCTGGTTTATTTTTGTTGAATTTTGAAGAGGTATTCCCTTGTTTATTCCGACTTAACTGATGTGCTTCCATTTGTGAATTATTGTTAGCGCCAACAGACGTTGAACTTGCTAAATCCGTACTTCAATGCTCTAAGTGTTATAATTCATTACAAAAATATATAGATAGCCTATGGTGTATGCGTATTGAATATGGTAAAACTAGTTTTGTGTATTTTTTTTGTTTTTTTTTTTCGTAGAAAAGAAAGTGCGCGTTTTGTTATTCGAGCGAAGATCGCACACTATTGGGATCAGATCGAATTAATGGTTGTTAGGGGACAGTTTTGGCTGAGTTTTTCGGGGATTACGATTCGGTTTTGGTTTTGCGGGGGACTCGACTCACTTAGCCTACGCTACAAGCTAAACTCTTAGAACTGCTTTTTATCCGGGTTTTCCATACGTGCAGGAAATTATTCAATGGCTACCATCTAACCTCCTTTTGCACTGCAATTCTATATTGTTAGAGAAAGAACTTACACTATTTACTTAAAGGGCGGGCAGAGAGCGGATGTAATCACCAGGTGAAAATCTCGTCCTGCCGCTCCGCTCGTTAGGTTACAGATACAGATAAAAACTGACTACAACTAACTGTACAATCTTGCCATCTGGAACCGAAGGAGCTTTCATATTTAAACCATCTCATGCCAATACCAGCGACACATTAATGCGCACTAATAGTTAGGATGCTAGAGACGTGCCATCCAGCAGCACCGATGCCACCTCCTCGTTTTGTTCTACGTACACTAGACGAGGATCCTCGCCGAACTCCAGTCTCCCGTATCTGGCCACCAGCGGTGTTTTGTTGTTGCTCACTTGCGGTGCGCGCGGCCACTTCCTTTTGGGCTTTGTGTGTGTCAGCATGTGTGACTTGAGGTTCGTTGACTGGGCGAAGCACTTGGAGCAGCCATCAATGGGACAGTGGTAGGGCCGATCGCCAGTGTGTATCCGTACGTGGGTGCGCAGATTGAAGTCCAGCGAGAAGCGCTTGCCGCACCCCTCGAAGGTGCACTCGAAGGGCTTCTCGCCGGTGTGCACCAGCTGGTGACGCTTTAGCTTGGAGCTCTCTACGAAGCTCTTGCCGCAGACGTTGCACACATGACCGCGCGGTCCGTGCGTGTGCATATGCTTGCGCATGGCCGAGTGGTTGCGAAACTCCTTGTTGCAGCCGCGATGAGTGCAGCGAAACTTTGGCTCCTCATCCTCCTCAGCGGCCGCGCCAGCTGCTCCCATAGGATTACCAGCCGTCTGGTTGGGCACTGCAGTCGGTAATTTGGTTACAATTGTGGGTCGTGGTCGGGCTGGATTGCAGGAAGCCACTAGTGGCGGTGGAGGAGTTGGTGTCGCCACCTGAGCCGCCGCCGTGAGTTGCCTCTTTGTCACCTTTGTCTGATTTCCCGCATTTTTCAGTCGCACATTGGTGCTGCTGTTCTGGAGCACCAATTTTGGAAGAGCCGGCTGTGGATTCGGTACACATCCATTGACCTTCGATAGCGCTATCGGTACAGTAGCTGGACCTGGTCCCGGGCTCTGTATCAGTTCTACATTATTCGGCATATTCTCGATAAGCTCAATGTTACCATAGGCTTCTTCCATCTGATTTTCCGCATATATCAACTGCTCACTTAGTGGCTGGCTATCCTCCTCGCCCTTGACATCGCCCATAAATGCATTAACAACCTCTTCCACATCCGTAACCGCAGAGGCGCTGAATGGATCGGGCAGGATGACGTACTCGTTGCCGATGCCATCGCTCAAAACATCGTGGTTGATCATGTGCTCGTCGATAATAAGCTTTGGCATGCTGGATGAGCCTTCATTCTGGGCGGCGGAGGAGGATGTCACGGATGTGGTGACAGCACAGCCAGGTGGTTCCTCCAACTCCTCCTCCTCGTCCTCATCCTCCGAGTTGAGCGAGGACCATAGGGTGACATTGAACTCATCCTGCGTAATGCGTATGGGTACCTTTGTTTGCTTCCAGCGCTTGGCGGCTGAATTTCCCATGGGCCTCTCCACGCGACTGCTACCGAATAGCTTAAAATCCTGCAGCTGGCCATTCGAGCTGTTTGAATCTTCGGTTGCCTTCATGTAGAAGTCGCTCTCAAGCTGCTCCTCCTTGATGTTGGTGGCCTCGATGGTGGTTAGCATCTCGGAGGCAATCTCGAAGGCATTTGTCGTAGCCGGCGCGGTAGCCTCATCATCCTGCTCGGTCTCCTCCTCGCCATCACCATCGCCATCACAGGAGGAGGTCATCTGCTGTCCATCCTCCTCGATAAATTCTTCGTCGTCGCTGGTCTGCTGCATGATGATGGGCGGCGGTAGTGCATCTGCCGTTGCCACCGTGACCGAGGTAAGCCTGTCCAGCCGATCCACCGGATAGTATTCATAGTGCTCGAAGAACTCGCCAGTGTCTACTACGATATTAGCCTCATCATCATAGTCGTCGATGATCTCCTCAATCAGGAAGCTCTCGCTCTCCTCGCCCATCGGATCGCCCGCCAAAACGGTGTACGGATCTTGCTCAACAATTGTGGCCGCCGTGGGCGGGTGTGCATGAGTGAAGTATGCCGATGACGGGGCGGAGTGCAGGGGCAGCGGTACCGCCGCAGCAGCCAGCGATAGATTCTTAACGATGGGCGCCCGAATCTGATGCAGTTGAGGCTGGAAGTTCCCTCCGACGCCGACGTGATGATGATGATGACTTGTCATCGCGGCTGCTCCGTCTGCCTGTCTGTGTGCCTGTATCTGTATGCCTGTATTTGTGGGCGCTCTTGCTTCGTGCGTGTGTGTTAGTGTTGTGTGTGCGAGCGCGCTGCGAAAAAAGTGGGCAATTAGTACCTGGCCAAAAAATCCGTAATATATATCTAAATATTCGCAAGACTACCAAAGTGGACCAAACGTACGTGTTTTCGTCGGTATTGTTGCACTGGATTGGCCTTTCCCTCCACCTCTTTTTCCACTTTTTTGTAGCCAATGCCTATCGTTTATTGTGCGACGGCGGCGGCAGACGGCGAATGATGCGTACCGCTCGCTCCGCTCCGCCCGCCACGCTCGTGCTGCCCAACGTCGGGTTAATCCTCGATTTGGATGACCACCTCGATCCCGCTCACCTCGGGCAGTGTAAATATTTTGAATTTTGCCGGTTAATATGGCGGAATTGTATTTTCCAGAAACGGCTCGGTACTTTCTCTCGCGTTGCGTGTGTGTGGCGGTGTGTGTGTGTAGTGTGCAACGACAGGCGCCACAATGCAACCCTGCGCGCGCTTTGTGTATATCTTAAGCGGTTTCTTTAACTTATATAGTTAAGCCTCCGCGCATTACTTCGCAAAACAGCACAAATATAATCTTAAGCACTAGCAAAGAATCGCATTTTATGAACCTCCAAACTGGCAAACCATTTATTAGCTGTAAATACCGCGGCGTTCTGTCTTTCGATTGGCGATAGGTTTGTTGTTCTATCAGCAGGGTTGCCACCCGACAAGAGAACAAATGCGCAATAACAATAAATAATTAATCTCCATGGCTTCACTAATGTTTTGAACTATTTACAATTGCGTACTCTTAAATACCTAGTTAAATTTCTTTAGCAATAGAACTTCCGGAATATAAATACGCTTCAGCTTCGACTCCACATAGCGTTCTTGTTGGGGTTTCAATATCTCTGCATTGTGGTTAAAATCAGTCTTATTAAAATGCACCGCCTTCCTATCCGCTGTTAAGGATATATTATAATGCCGACATTGGTCCTGAAGTCCTGACGGCCCATCGAACAACAGTAAACGCAACAAGTAAGGAACCGGCACCGTGAGCTGTTTGTTGTTGTAGGCATGCGTGAAAATCAGCAGCAAGCTCCTGCAAATATACGTTTGTACATATGTATGTGTGTGTATTGAGAATACAACATATCAATAAGACAACCAATTGTAATTGTTATACAGTACCTCCTTATCGCCTGCAACTTGGTGGCCGCTACGGCGCACAGAATGTGCGGCAATTGTGGTAAACCCATGAGCACTCTAAACAAATTGCCCTGTTGAAAGGCCAAACAGATGCCAAAACATAACTTAAACGTCGCATCCTGACGCACATAATCCGGTAAGGTGAGGGCGCGTGTAAAGGACTCGGGAGAACCAAGATTAAACACTTGATACAGGCTCTCTATAAAGCAGCGCCGCTCAATCTCACGAATGCTGCGTTCTTTAGAACATTCCAAGTCCTCCAGTTCTTCGTAACAGCAAAGCACTCCCGTGAGGCATTCTTGCAAGTGCTGATTGCATATCTTGGGATCGAACTTCTCTATGGGCTCCTCACACAAGCGATATCGACTATAGGCCAGGAACATCACAATAGGTTCTAACAGGCAGATCTTCTGACGGGCATCGTACATCTGGATCACGATCTCCCGACGCACCGCCCTCAATCGATCGAATATGAAGTCGTAAGCCACGTTATATGGCTTTCGTGTGTCGAGGATTATGCTGCAAAGTACATACATATATTAATTATCAGAATTAACTTTTTGTTTTTTAAGCGCCAAAAATACTTGCTCCTTGAGCAGATATTCCACAGTTTTGGTCAATGACGCTTCTGTGCGCATTTCCTTGGGCAGGGGCATCTTGACATCGGCGGCGGACCGCGTAAACTCCTTTACCAGGACACCTGGCGTGTTCTTCTGGCCATTCTTCAGCTCAAAGTAGTGCAAAAGCTTCTCGCGAATACGCCTGAATGTTTCAAAGTGCGTTATTTTATTATATTCGGATTAAAAGTCATTAACCTACATTTTCGCCTCCCCATCGGGACAGAAACTTTCGCAGGATCCTCGAACTTGGGCCATTTGTTGATGAATGCAACCAACTCCACCAGCGACAGCAAACCAGGGATGAAGGTTTCGTGGATCAAAGGCGTAGCGCAAACTTTTTCAAGGGACTAGGAAATGATATATATTATATTCAATTTTTAAAGCTAGCTTCAAATTAATAATACTTGCCAAATTAAGACTACCATATCTATAGAAACTTACACTTACTTCGATTTTCAACCCCTCTTGCCACGCCGCTGAAGTCAGCAATCAGCTGTCTGGGCGGTCTGGGTTGTCAGGTTGTCGGGGCTTCAAAATTGTTCTAAATTTTCAGTTCGTTTTTCCCCGCCCAGCTCAAAACGAAATGTTTTCGCGGCATTTTGCAGCCTTCTTGCGATTCAACCGACATGTTGCTCGAAAATACAGCGCCCACTTCAGGAGTTTTCTTGCCGCCGGCTTTAGCAACAGGTTTTCCCTAAAGGTTGCAACTCTGCTGCCGCTGGTAATCCTCCGATCCGTGGATTGCAGGCAAAAAGATGACCAGGACGTGAAGCGACCGGGCCGCAGGCGAACCATGAGCAAGGTTAAGTATGAGACGAGTCTGGAGGGAAGGGCGCAGCTCTATCTCAACGCCATGAAGGTGCGGTGGGAACAGTTACACAAAGTTCCTGGGCTGTTTTCCTATCAATTACAGAAATCGCCTCAGAACCGGAAAATACCAGGATACTGGGGCTTCTATACAGAGGTGTGTTCCATATTCTTGTACTTTACAAAATATTTACATCTCGACCCTTCACTTTCAGCTGAATGCAGATCGAAACCTTAAGCGCCGCCGACCCCAGACCATCGAGAGCCTCAATCCCACCTTTAAGCACATGTTGTTCAATTTCAATAAAGTCGATGCCAAGGAGGTGATCATGACCATTGATGATGCGCACGGCAGTCCTGAAGTTCAAATGATCATAAACAAGAGCCCAATCACCAAATATCACACTTTGATCTGCCCGGAAGTGGGAAAAAACCATATCCAACAGATTACCCGTGACGCTCTTCAGTTCTGCATCACCTTCATGCGAAGCATTGACGACAAGGACATGCGCATGGGTTATAATAGCCCTGGAGCGCTGGCTTCTGTAAATCACCTTCACTTCCACCTTCTACACATGCCACAGGATTTATATATAGACCAAGTACCTTTGGATGAGCTGGCCGGTGGTTATGTCTATCGTTTGAGCCGTAGGGCGCCCACGGAAGGAATATGTATAGTATTCAACGAAAATGATAGCGAAGAACAGGTGGCGGAGAAAGTGGACCAGCTCTACATACTCGCAATGTGGATGTGTAAGAACAATATGCCCCACAATCTGTTCCTCACGCAGGATCGGAGACCCGGACAAAGCGCTAATGTTAAGGTATTCGTATTTGCGCGCTCCGAGTATTGTGTAAACAAGGATTTGGCCGACTTTAATGTCGGATTCTGCGAGTTGGCTGGTTACATTCCGCTGCCAGGTGATATAATCGCTCTATAAAACATTGTTTCTGAACTAAAGTTTCTATCTTTGTTAACAGATGCTGATAAAATGGAGAGTCTTACAGAGCTTCAGGTGCTCTTTAGGATCCGAACCATTACTGGCAATGCTCCAAAAGCTGTGTACGAGGAAATTACGAGTATTGTCGAAGGATCACGAGATCAATTTCTTTGGGACCAACCATTGACGATATGAAATACCGAAAATAAATAATTAGAGGCTTCTATCTAGAATAACTTTAGGGTTTAATTGAATGCTCATGTTGTCATACTGCTGCTGCTGCGAATCCTTTTCCCATGGTCGCCTTGCTAATTACTTTGTTGTTGGCAGCAATGGAATAATCCACCTGTGTTTTGCCATTCTGATTTCTTACGAGCTCCGTCAGCTGTGGAAGCGCATCTTTAGCCACACTCTCACGAATTTCTTCAAAGAAAGCCATGTAGTGATGAATGTTGTGACTTGAAGAATAAGAAAATTTAGAAAAGGATTAACAAATTAATTAACAATCATCACTTACACCATCAGTAATATAGGACCAAGTAGTTCGTTGGTCTTGTACAGGTGGTGAAGGTAGGCACGAGTGTGTTTCTGGCAAGTCAAGCAACTGCACTCGCTCAGCGGCGGAGTAAAATCCTCCTTGATAGCTTCGTCGGTTATGTCCAAGAATGGCACATGTTCCACTGCATCCTGCACAAAACTAAATGTCAAAGCCTTGAAGTTCAGAGAAGCACAATATGCGTAGGAAGAGTCAAACACATCAATTCCCTGGCGGATGAGTTCCAGAATGGTTAGGGGAGTGTAGGCACCCGGCAATATCCTAGGCTTGTCCTCCTCCAACTGCTTAACGCAGTGCTCTACTATTGGCAGTAGTTTGGAAGTATCTAAAGTGGTCGCCGTTAGACCATTCGTGTGGAATCCCTCGAAGATGTAACCTCCGTAGCTGCCCGCTGGCTGTTCCCGGGCATGTTTAATAGACTGAGTCCGGGCAAAAGTGTTATATCCACCCACAATGGGAGCTAGCAGAGTGGAATTCACCTTGCACCGGTGCTCGTAGATGTAGTGCATAAACTTCTCTGTCCTATCAACAGATTTCTGAATCCGCTTTTTGGCACTATCCAAATTTGTGTCCGCATCGCAGAGTCCCTGATAGATGTCCGGCTTAAAACTTGCTACCATTTCCATGTAACGTTCCGAAGAGAGCGATTCCTTGCCCCTTCTCGTAAACAGTGGCATTATATCCCGATCGTTACCTCCGGATAGCGTTGTTTCACAGGGATCTCGTACCATGAGAATGTTTAGATGTCCTGGTAGTCCTACATAGCCGCTTAGTCCGTTACCCCCACCACTGTTCCAATGTGTAAGTGCCTCGGTCATTTGGTCCATTGTGGACAGAGTGAACTGGAGCACCTGTGGCTTTTGGCTGACATGACTCTCAAAAACATCCGCACTTAGCCACGGAATGCTTCCGCCCTTAGTAGTCTGCAAAAGAAGGGGAGTCTTGAGCTCGGGTCCTCCATCCTTGATTCGTAGTTGACCGAGTCGACCGGAATTCTTGCTAATGCTCTCGATCGCAAATTTCATTCCGGCTCGGGCCTATATTTATTTTTGTAATGAAGAATTACCAACCGCACGTTTCGAGCGGTCATCGATAACGATAACTATTAGTGATTGCGATTCGGCTGTTTTCATTTAGCTATAGCTAAGTGTGCTGACGTATTGGCTAAATAAGATGTCTATATTCAAAATAAATTGAATTTTACAAATATCACGCGAAACCTATCGTCTATTTTTAACATTTCTGTATAACTGTTTTTTTTTTATTTTATTTTAGATTCGATTTAATTTTTAAATATCCTTATTTAACTGCTCTATAGTACCGTCGTGAACCCTGATTGTATTAATTTAGTATTCATTTTATGAAAATGTCAGAAAAATTGAATAAAAACGTTCACGATAAAACAAAGTAAATTTAAAACGAACTACTCATAAGAAAGAGCAAAGTTTACGGTATCAATGATCTGGCAACCCTCCCAGGTTGGCGCCCCTATTCTCCTCGCTTGCGTTTTGTTTCCCCCACTGCTGCTCAGTTAATTTCGACTTTTCGGCGTGTTCGCTTTTCAACGGGCGCTTCAGTTCGCTTTTGGGGGCTTGTTCGCTTTTTGGATCTCCACTGGCGCTGAGTGAATGGTTTTATGTTGTATGCGCAGCGCACTTGATGGAAATTGTTGTCATTGTTTTAGTTGTGTGTGCAATCGGATGTTCGCTATCTCCGTCGCACAGCGGTAACGTGTGTGCGTGTGTGTTCCGTTCGCGTCGTTCATTGATTTCCTAATTAAGTTTATAATTAAAATTAATTGAAAAATTACTCGCTTATGTACATTCATACATACATTTGTATGTGTGCGCTGGCATGTACAGACATGTAAATTGGCTAACGGCGTGTGAAAGCCCATTAAATTAGTTCTGTTATTTATAAGCTCCCCTCGTACAAACACTTTTATAAAAAAAATTGTTTGATTTCGAAAATGAAATTGTGCCAAAAGCATCAACACGAAAGAGGTAATTAGAATAACAATAATGCAGAGACAGCTTTTTAAATTGATGACTTCCTTGCGGCCGACGTTGTATTTATAATTAACAGCGTCTGCCGCTGACATTATGTATGTACATACAAATGTACATACATTTATTCAAACAAATCGACTATTAAAATTCCTTGAGCTAGAACATTTCCACTGGAAGTTTTGAAATCTCCTGCCCGCCAGGGTTGCCAACTTCCCGCACGACTGTGGCCTTGAGCAGATCGCTACCTGTTCACGTGTTTTACGACTCAAAGGCAGTCGTAAATGTGGAGGAACTGTAAAAACGGCAATAAAACTTTTCATTTATGTGCATTCCAGGTGGTCCTGCGGAACGCCAAACGATGTGGCAACCCTAGGCAAATGAACTGTTTTACCTGCCCAAAAACGCACAATAGCAACAACTACAAGAACGGTTGAAAGAGAGCGAGCGGACGGCACAACGGATAATTTAGTGGAATTTTCAAAAATAGCAAAGCCAGCAACAACGAATGGCAGCCATAATCCCCCAGCGAGAGCACAATAATCAAAGATTAAATCAGGTTTATATGGAAAGGGTTAGCATGGCGCAGGAAGAAATACACGTTTCCTAGCGCAACAACAACTGCAACAACTACAAACACCTACAACTGATTATACTCTCACACGACGAGAAAAACGAGAGAATGCGAGAGTGCCAGAGAGTAACTGTGTTTATGCGGAGAATTTCATGATTTCAAGAATTTCAGCTAAAGCCCATCGTTTATGCGACATGATGGAGTTAATGCAATGAAAAGAACAAGAATATTTACATTTATGTTGGAAAATTGATTGCTTAATTTCATGCACTGGAGCTTGAGTTGGAGCTGCACTGGCGGTCATTGGCTGAGCCATACATTTAAAACAAAATTACATAAATAAACCAAAATCATTTTGGTTATGCGTAACGCAGTTCAAGGAATGCAAAATTCATGAACTAGAAAAGGACTTGCCATAAACACAGTAACATAGAGAGTGAGAGAGAGCGCGTGAGAGCAAAGGCGGCGACGCCGGCAGAGCACAAACTGCCGTCGCAGCGCTTGCATGTTTTTCGCTCATTTTTCTTTCGTGTGCGTTGCGGCGATGTTGTGTTTTCTCACGGCGGTGAAAACACTCTGCAACGACTGTGACAACAACAGCAACCACGATAAGATTTTCCGTTTTCCCGTATGGAAGCAGAAGCACTAGCGGCATTTGTTTTGAAAGTAAAGCAAAGGCGAGCGAGAAAAACGAAAATATAAAGCAGAGGAAGACGGAAAAAGCAACGCCGCTGCCGACCGCGCCTCGCTATATGTGCATGTGTGGTGTTGTGAGCGTGTGTGTCTGTGAGCCTACCGCCTGTCTGTGTGTAAGTGGGCGCGAACGTGCGGCCGAAAAGGAAGTGAAAATAGTGCAAAAAGGCCAAGTAATAATAATAATAATAAAATAGGCAAAAAGACAGGCCCCAAAAGAGACCGACCAGACCAGTTTCAAAAAGCGCCTATTTCGAGGCTCTTTGTTTCATGTGTATTGGTACGTGTGTGAGTGGCACCAACAACAACAACACAAGCAGCAACAAAAACAACAACTAGAAGCGACCACATACGGTGGAAAAGGCCTTTTTTCAAGGAGCGAAAGGCAATGCGCGAACGAGCAATAAGAATAATAAATTACACTTTGCTATAATAAGAAAAATTTATACATATATACACACAAGCGGGAGAGGCCCACACACACATGTGTTTTTCCTCGATGTGAGTGTGTGGAAAATTGTAATAAAATATGAACCGCAGAAGCAGCAGCAAAACGAGAAAAACGAGAGAAAATTTCGAAATATCGCATGTGCCATTTTAAGCTTTAAATAAATTATAACGTACAGTATTACACACAAAAGAAAAAACAAATAACACAATAAATACAACAATTGAACAAAATGTCCTGCATATCGAGCAACTTTAGCTCCTTCTTCCTCAACTCGCTCAACGATCCTTCAGAGTTTTCCAAGTACTTGAGCAATGGCGAGCTCAAATGCACTAATTTCGAGGAATTTCAAGTGTTTGGCTGCGGCGCAGGCGCGGCGACGCAACAGCAGCAGCAGCAGCAACAACATCAGCAGTATTCCCACACACATTTACCCAATGGCAGTTCAGCGACAGCAGCAGCGGATTTTCCCAATTACGAGGCAACGTCAACGCCGCAGCGGGAAAACTCCTCCTCCGTTAACTCAGGTAGTTCTGTTAATCCCGCACACTATGCTTCCGCCGCTGCCTCAGCCTCTGCCAGCGTCGAGGCCAGCGCATCAGCAGCCCCGACGTCGAATCCAGGAATCGCAGGAGCAGCAGGATCAACGCCCCTCACCACCACCCCCCCGAGTAATCGCTGGCCCACTGCGGTGGCCACGCCCAATGGCCATCAATCCACCGCCTCTGCTGCGGGCTCAGTGCCCCAGCACTTCGATGGATCCTTTGAGTTTATCAAATATCTGCGACACTCCACGGATTTTACGCCGAGCACACCGAGCAGCGCCAGCGAAACTAGCTCCTGTCCGGAAAAGCCGGTCAGTGGTAAAACGGGTGTTTCAGCAGGCGCCACACCACCACCGCCTGCCCAATCGCCTGTGGCCGGTGGTTTGATCGATCTGGATACTAGCACCTCGCAGAAATCACGATCTGCCTCCCGCAAAGTGGCAGCTTTGTTGTCTTCCGTTTCGCGGGCTTCCAATAGTCTGGTGGACACCAGCTCCTCCGCACTGGATGTCTTCGATCACGATTCAAAACAGACGATCTTTGACCTACAGCACATTGCCTCCAACGGATCGTCCAATTCGAATGAATCTTCGTTGGAAATGCTAGCATTTCCCAATTCGCACCTCAATGCCTCCAATTCGAACACCTCATCCGAAGGAGCGGCCTGCGGTAGTGCGGGAGAATTCGGAGGACTGTTAACTGGCGCCAGTTGCTCCTCCTCCACGGCTTCCTCATCCTCGCTTGCCCCGAAACTCCTTGGAAGCTTTGTGATCAAGGAGAACTTCGAAGTGCATCCATCGCACAAAGTGGAAGAGGGCATCTTCCAACACATGAACAAGCTGCCATCGAAAAAGAAGGATACGCTGAAGCAGCTAGGAGTTCGGTTCACCGGCCAGATGACGCTGACGGACAAATCGATTGTGGTGGAGAACTTCATCAAGTTCTGCGAGGTGAGTTACGCTTCCCGAAATCGAAAGGGGTTGGGTTTCAAATGTTTTCGGGGTGTTAGCGAGTCAATTTTCTCTTGCCCCGTGTGTGTGAATATTTCAACGCTCTCCGCGCGCTGCCCATTTCCATATGCAATTTAAGTATTTGCACATATGTATGAATTAGGTATTTATTTGTAATGATGGTCGGGAGCGCGGGTTGATGGTCTAATTGGGGTTGACTGTGGAGATTACATACTTTACATCTAGAAGTCGATTTTCTAAGGAAGTGCGTCACTTCAACAGTTTTTAGGTTTAATAATCAAATGAATGAATTCCACGTATAAAAGTACCATGTACAAAAACTACACCCATACAGACTGGGGGTCAATACATTACGATTTGATAACAAGAAACTACTGATAAGTTACTCAGTTGAAGGCCTGAATTAAAGGTCAATTTATCACTGGTCTTATCTAACTGATACTATTTTTATAACCTTGGTAATGTAGCTTGCAAAAGTACATTTTCTAGACAATTTATATAGAAGGTACATTTCATAAAGGTGTTCTTTATTTCCATTTCTAAAATGGATCGATTAGAAGACTAAAATGTAATACATTTTTCGGCGAGGCCCACGCACCCTATATAAATATAGTACATACCAATTGGGATATTCATAATATAAACATGCACCCTATCTATATCCTATATCACACACACTGCCGTAATTCCACCCGCACTCACACACGCATTCGGGATTCCGTTTGCCCCCCACTCACACAAATGTCATTATAAATTGTAATAACAGGAGCAGTGATGCCGGCGCCGCAGTCGACGTCGACTGCAGCCAACCACAAATTCAGCATACAACTGTAATCATGTGTGCTCAATGTATGTATGTGCGTATGTGTAAGTCTAAACACCTATACATGCGGGGGGGTTAAATCCCCACTTTCCACCACCACCAAAACCCCCCGGAAAGCCACCCGAGCAAACACACACACGCAGACACGTTTGGCGCCCTTTTCAACACTATGGCAGTCAACCCCAAACACTCACCACGCTCATTACGCTCCGCTTTATCACAAACACACAGACAGAGTCACATCTAGATTTGTTGGCCACCCGTCGCATACCCCCGCCCTCTCTCTCTTGAGCTCACGCACACAGACAAACATTCTCCAAAACTATGTACAAAATGGCATTGATGGCATAATACAACAAAAGCAAGAACAACAACTACTGGATGGGGGGAGGGGTGTGGGGCGTTGCGGAGAAATTACGATGGAGGCGAAACGGAAGGGATGCCCAAAAACCCCCCTCTATTACAACATTTTAGTTCTAAGACGCTCTCTCTTTTACTTTACCTACTTGGCTCCCTAACTCAAAATTGTTGCGCTCTCTCATTTCTGCGGTAGCTACTCTCTCCTGGCTCCCACTTTCTCTCTCCCCGCCCTCTCGCCTTCATTTCCTCAATTCAAAACTTACTTGAAGGCTGAACTACCAAAGTGTGTGTAGTTCTGTATGTGTGTGACTTTGAGTGTGGGTGTGGGCAACCCCCAAAAGCTTGCTATTGAGTAATTGTGTGTTGTCCCCCCACCCTCTTATTCTTCTTCTTCTCCTGTTCGTCCTTCGTCTTCTTCTGCTGCTCCCTTGAATTCTTTGGCTTCCACTCCTTGCTTTCACACATACAATCATCAAGTTACTTAGAGGGGTGCGGGGGAAATATGGGGGATGGAGAAATGAGGAGACATCGGACTGTCCGCTAGCTGCTTGGGCATGTCCTTTTCCGACTCTCTCGATTTCGTCTTGCATGTGTGCGAGTGTGCCTGTATTTTATCAACACATTTTATACATGTCTCTATCGGAGCGACCATTAGTACAGTATAACTTGCCTAAAAATACTAACAAAAATTATAATTAGATAAGTGTAGTTAGAGCAAGAACTAAGACCACCCTTTTGGAAATTGCTAGTCAGTAGAATATTAACTGAAATATAAAATATATCCTTATAAGACCACACTTTAAATTGTTTTTTATAAAACAATTTATTTTATTTCCAGACAGTTTTTTCATTGTTAAGGAAAGAACTTAGGGTACATATATGTATACTACATTACGCTCTGGCAAATAATAAAAGGCTTCCTTGAATTGGATGAATAGTAATTTGGAAAGCTTATAGCTTAGGAAGTTTGACTGTAGCTGAGGCTGTGGATGTGTGTGTCGCCCAGCGGCGTCGTTGAAGGCTACTAAGTGCGCATGCAGTCAGCTCACCCACACAAGTGCACTCGGTTTTGCCCAACTTTGCGGCTGAGTGTGTGTGTGTAAAGGACAGCTTAGTCGACGGGTGGATGTGTATGAGGATGAGAAACGGGTGCCGTGGATCTGAACTGTGGATGGGTGGTTGGGCGAAAAGTGGGTGGCGCTTGGGCAGGTACAATGTCTCGGCTTCGCACAATTTACGCGCACACACACTCACATTCACGTATGAAAGCAGGCGCACATATGGGGCATTGATTATAATTTTAAATTATACATATGTGTGCGGGCACATGCCGATATAACTGTACTTGCCGCATATGATGTCTATATACAGGGCTTTGGACGCATATGTATGTTTGTATATATATATAAAATACATGCAGGCTCACATATGTATGTATGTACATACATATGTTTGTATAATTCTAACGCACACATCAAATATTTAGCTTTTGTGCAACGTTTTGTCGCCTTTTGGGCGCACACACACCACATTAAATTAGTGTGGGTTGGGGCCATTTTTCCGGAATTAGTGTGCATTTAGAACGGGTTTACCTTAATTAAAAACCCCAAATTAGTTGCCTAATGAAAAGGTGGTGAACGGCGGGTGTGGGCCAAACAAAGCAAAGCACAGGGTGTCGAAAGCAGTAACCCTTAACCCTTTAAAACAAAAAAAAAAAACTCGTCGAACGGGCAGCACACGCACCAAAGAGTGAAAGTGTGAAAATTTCCCCCACTTACACACACGCGCACACACATTAACGCACACGACGCAAGCCCTGGCAAAAGGAATCAAAAAATCATGGCAGCAACAGTCAAACATTTGGCTTTTGTTGCTCTTGTTGTTTCTCGGCACGCACAAGCAACACACACAACAACAACAGCGACGGCAACAACAGGAGAAAGGAAAACAATTCACACTTGTCTCAATACAAACAACAACAAACCGCATCACACCACAGACAACAACCGCAATCCCGCCACACACAAACACACAAGAGCAAACGCCCCAAATGCTCACAGACACCCGCACACCCACACACTCACGTTCACTACGTCACGCACAAACACAAACCATGTCTGCCAATAAGTTTGCAAAAAAAGCACAAAAAACAAGGAAAAAGAAACAAACAAAAACAGAAAACAAAAAACGTACACAAGGAGACGCAATAAAAACAGAAACGGAAAACAGCAGCGAAAGCAAGAACAAAATACCGCAACACATTGCCACTGCTTTCATTCCTCTTTTCCTGGTTCTATTTGTTTTTTCTTTAGAGGTAAATTACTAGGGTATATTGTAATTAGGTAAGACATACACCGATATACTGGTTCAGTCGGATTTAAGTCTGTGCTGTATAAGTCATCTTCGAAGCGACTTAAACTTTTTAAAAAACCTATTTTCAATTCAAGCCAAGCCTCTCGATTCTGAAAATATGACTCTCATATCATACATAAAACTTAAAGGTAGATATCTTTAAGTTGGTCAGGTCGTTTACAAGCATTGTGTCTAAGTATCCAATAAATAAAATAATAAACGGATCAAAAGTTTTTTTATCCTTAGAGTTAGCCCTAAAAAGTAGGCAACAAAAAAGTAGCATAAACAAAACCGTATTGCCCTAATTTCAAATCAATCAACTTTTTTATAAGCCTATCTAGATCATGGATAATATACAGATAAAATATCCAATGAATGATTTCGAATAATCCCAGATATAGGGTATCTCATAGTTGGAGGAAAAGTATCGTTATTTTTTGTGTGCTTTTTGACTGTGAAACAGTTGAGTGGCCATGGACGGTGTAGCCGATGGGGTTGGCGAAAGGGGGAGCACCACTTGACAGCAGCAACAGTCCAGAAACCACCATGTATGCCACACCCCTTAAAGCCCCAACGCCCCCACATAGTTGATTGTTAATGAGACACCTGGAGAAGTGGCCAGGTGTCGGCTGCCTGTCAGCGCTGCAAAATAAGAGAAGCAAATAAGAGAGTGTGTGGAGTGGCTGTCAGCCAGAGTTTTCCTGCTTTTGGACAGGGATTTAAAGTTTTCGCATACTATTCGCCCAAAATGAAAGACACGGCATGTCACTCCTTTTTTGCTCTATTGATTTTTAACATAATCAAAACCGAAAATGTATGCACACACACGCACACACATTCGCAATCAGTGAGACGTACAGCAGCACAGTCAGCAATTCGCATGTGTGAGAGGACCATTTTGGGGGTGGGTGTGGGTGGAAGCCCTGGGTGGATGGGTGGGACTGGATGGTGGAAACCCTGATTATGAGGATGTTGATAAGTTCCGACGACGAACGGAACTGAACTCTCTGCGCTGCCGAAGACTCGCACTCACACAGTCGTCCATTAAGCCTACCATCTAGCTATCACACACACACTCTCCCAACACAGACACACAAAAACACACTGACAGAGAGGCTTTCATGGTAACCCTTTTGAAAAGTGGGGGGCTCTTTGCAAATAACCCCCAAACCCCCTTTTTGGGGCAAAATGGCTTCATTGAAAATGTTGTTTGCTTTTCTATTTGGGTTTGCTTTGCTGCCTTTTCTGCTTCCTTTTTCGCTTCGCCCTATTCTATATTTTTACACTATAAAATATACATTGTCAGGGTGTGAGTGTGTGTATGTATGGGAGCTTTTGCTTTGGCATGTTATTCAGTCCTCGACGCCACCCCTCCGTTTTTCCAGCCAACCCAACCATCGTCCTTTGCAAGTTTTTGGCTTTTGTGTAAAATTTTCGTTTTAAACTTTTGCGTTGTACACGAATTATAAGTTTTGATTAGTAGTGGGCAAAGTTTTCGCTCGCATGTGTATGGGTTTTTGGGGGTGAGCGGGTCGGGTCGGGTCGGTTTTGGTTTTTCCTGAACACATAGAGAAAGTATATTATGTAAGGCAAATACATATGTGCAGCCATAGAATTTGACGTCAATGAATATACATCCGCACACATACTTCTACGTGGAAAAACAGCCTAAAAGTCGAGAAAATTATGCTAAAAAGTGGTGGAATGGGGGGTGGGTTCCTACATGAAAGGTGTAAGCTGGTTTAAAAACTAATGGAAGGGTGGTTAGGGGCGGGGTTTTAGCAACCAGTAAAACCGGTATGTCTGGAAAATTGCTTTACGACTGCAGTTGGATTTCTAATTTAATTTTCATCTAATTAAAATGCATTACTACTTCGTTATTTAAAATTTTGGACGAAGGCCACAGCTGGGTTTCAATTATTTTTTAATGGAATTTTAAAATAAGCTATAAGTGAAGCTTGAATTATATATTACATGCTTAGAAATGAAGAAAATCATATTTCAAAAACGTAAAAAGACTGCTTAGTGTACAATAACTCCTGCATTTTGAACACATGTTGCACTCTATTTGACTATAATCTTGCTCCCACTTGGGGCAAAAACTGCACATATGGTTTATACTACTAAATGTACCCAATTTCAAACTATCCCCAAAAGGAATACGACATCAAGGACCACAGGCCATGGCTGTCACTGAATCAGTGCGGTTTGAATAAGCCCGAGCAGATCAAATTCGCTCGATATCTGGGCCAGGGACTGCCGACGTTTACGCTCTTCTGCATTTATAGCAATTTTAAGAATCTGTTCTGCACCAAACGCACGGAAATGTGAGTATCATCATCATCATCATCATGTCCCTCGATAATTGAGTGTTCTGCCTAACTTGGGGTAGCCTAAAAGCATGCTATTATAATTGATGAATGTCCTTTTTTGCAGCTACACGAAGGATGGCTACAATCTGCCTTATATACTCGACAAAACCAAGCGCTTCCTGGCCAACACAACAGCTGGTAAGTGGAATCTATATCTAAATATAGATGTAGATATATCCCCCTAGAATATCCAACTCCGCCATCCCCGATTTCCGTGTAGTGCAAATGCAGCAGAAGGTAGCATCAACCGAAAATGTATTCAGGCAAAGGAAAATTAATCAAAAAAAAAGCGAGACATGAAAGCCTAGAGGCGAATGTGCTAAATTTTAAAAATACACTCGAAACTAGAAGTGCTTACATTCATTTTTATGATTTTTCTACTTTTGCACTTCTCATTTCTATTTCTATTTCGTGCATTTTCTGTTTCGTTTTCTTCCTATTAAAACTATAAGAAAAATACCTACAATTTGGCCTGCCTATTTTTGCAAAATTTCGTAAACTATTCAATTTTGTCTGCGCGCTCTCAAAAAAAAAAAAAACAGAAGGAAAACAATTTTAATTTTTGACTTCAATTTGTTTGTGTTTCCTCTTTCTTCTTCTTTTTCCAACGCATACGCTTTCAATCACTAGGCGACAATACCAACAACAACATCACCAACAACACCAGTAACAAGACCAACAACAACACCAGCACAACAACAACATCCACACCGGTCAAACAGACACCACAACAACAGCACCAGCAGCAATCCGAGCAGGATCCGCTGGCACCCAACTCACCTGCAACACCGAAACTTGCAGCAGCAGCATCAGCAGCGGCGGTTACAGCAACACCAGCGGCATCATCGGTGCTGGGAGCAGTCACGCCAGCACATACAGTACCACGCACAAGACCAGCCACGCCCACAATGCCAGCAGGAGCAGTAGCTGGAACGCCTACGACCCCACAGCAACAGCAACAGCAGCATCTGCAGCAGCAACATCAACAGCAGCAGCAACAGCATATGTTGCAGCATCCGCACACGCACCCGCATCCGCATGCCCAGCACTCGCATCCGCACACGCTACCCCATTCACTTCCGCACCACCTGCAGCCTGGAACCCCAACGCGCAGTTCTCATCCTCAGCTGCCCCATCCGCATCACTATCCACCATCGCCACACTCTCATCCGCACCACCAGCCGGGGCATCACGGTCATCCACATGCCCATCACTTTGCCTATGCCCATGGTCATCCGCATCCGCAGCAGCATCATCCGCACTACTATCCGCATCCACACGCACATGTCCAGCATATGGCGGCGATGGGATATCCGGGACCACCTCCAAACGCACAGCAGGCGGCTGGGGGAGGAAGTGTTGGTGCCGGAGGTGCTGGTGGAGCAACAGGAGGAGCTGGATCCGCAGGAGGAGGCGGGCCGTTGCCGCCCACGGCCATGTGAGATTGGGGTCGGCGTGGCGCCAAGGACAGCGGTGGTGGCGCCACCTGTTGACACACATAGGCTGTTGCAGAAGGACATGGCAGAGGATTCAGGATTTTGGTCCATCCCCCATCATCCTCCCAACCTGTCCTAGATTATAGTTTTCCGTTGATGTGCATCGTCATATTAGTTTTTTAGTGTGCTCCTCGTTTTTAGTTTATGTTTCGTTTATTTAGACTAATTTTACACAAGCTTTTTGCCAAATTTTATAAAACTATGCAAATTTTGCATAGACGTTTGACGACGATAAAATGAAATTGTTGGACAACGATCGATCATTACCCCCAAACTATGCAATGTTATTCCTTGAAAAGAGATTATTACATTTACACACAAACATCACACTTTTACACAATCACCAACACGAACACACGAGTATAGAAAATCATGCTAATGCTATTTAATATGGTAATATAAATATATATTTTAGTAAGCCAGGAACAAATGATATATATGTTAATGTAAAACCAATCCTAACTAAACACAACACGATATATATGGAAATTGTTTGCGAACCCAGAAAATATATATACACACCTAGCAAGAAGCGATTGAGAGAAAATCGATTTGAATGTTGTTTTTACTCGAGATTTATTGCCTGCGTCGCGCCTCTGCATTTGCGCTAAACCAATTAATACAGAGGAGAACTTTCATTTTCTTGGGACTTCCAATTGAAAAGCGAATGCGATGTTGCACTAAATGGTTATAGTAGTTCTCCTTCACCTTGGGCCAATATAATTAACGTTCATTCAGCGCCAAGAAAAACATGCGATTCAACTAAAATATCGCCTTTGATTTTCAGCCAAGCACAATCGGTATTTTATTTAACTTTTCCAAATCTGCAAAAATAGTACGAACCAAGAACCACAATCCTACTATATATTTCTTTACAGAATTTATTGATTTATAATATTTTTATTAATTTCAAATGTAGCGAACACAAATGTTTACTTTTTGTGTTGTACAAAAACTGAAGAATATTTGTAAATTGATGTAAACTATTTTAATTGATACTACATATTTTTTCAAAATTTGTTCTGAGCTCAAGGGCGATTTCAAATGCAAGTCGACTTTCACACATCCTTGGAGTTCCGCTTCCTGAGTGTGTTGGTATTCCGATTCTCTCTTGTAGACCTCAAGAACATGGCGGCGGCCAACGATGGCTCCCTGGAGTTCGCCACCGGCAGCGGCGGCAGCAGCAGCAACAGCAACACGAGCAACATGAACATCGGTAGCAACAGCAACAGCAGCAGCAGTGGCAGCAGCAACCCAGTGGCAGGATCAGTGATTAATCCCAATGCCGTGACCATGCCAGCGGGCTATGTGACATCATCGACGGCGCAGCAGCAGCATCAGCACCAGCACCCGATGACCATGGATCCCCGCTACGGATGTGGAGCTCCTCCGGCCCTATTGCCTCCACCGCCGATTCCGGCCCTGGGACCACCACCCAGATCCCTGGAGCAGCTCATCATCTACGAGAACTTCGATGTGCACGAAACACACCGGATCGAGGACGGGGTTTGCACTCACATTAGCCGCCTGCCGCCCAAGAAGCAGGAGCTATTGAAACAGTTCGGTATACAGAGTAGTAGCCAGCATTGTCTGAGCAATTATGAAAAGTACATACTCATCGAAAACTTCATCAAGTTTTGCAATGTGAGCAAAAGTGTATCGAAAGCAGATATAAGGAGGCACCACTGTAGTCTAGCGGAGCTTTGTTCTTTGGCCCCCCAATTGGCGTTCGAAACATTGGCACTCCATCTATGTAGATATATCCAAATTGCATCCTCATCAATAATTCCCGTGCAATGAACAAAACTCTTGCCCGTCTTTCATAGAATGATCTTAATGTATTTCACCATTTCTTTTCCATTTCCATATCTGCACTTTTTCGTTTCGTCCTTTGCATTTCGACAGGAATATCAGATATCCGATCATCGACCCTTTTTGGACTTCCACGAGAGCGCTTTATCCAAATGTGAACAACTTAAATTTGTACGATATCTGGGCCAGGGGCTATCCAATCTGACGCTAAACAAGATCTATGTCGCCTTCAAGGAACTCCTGGGCAACGGAAGGCCCGAAAAGTAAGTTCTTAAGTAAGCTGAACTGATTAAGAATATTAAAAATATATGATTTTCTTTTAGAGCTGGCATGGAGGGTTATAATTTGGACACACTGTTGAAGAAGAAACGAAAGAATCTATATAATCGTATGCATGCCGCTGGTAAGAATAAAAATAGATAATAAAAAAAATAAATCTGAATACATTTTGAATTCATATCAAACATAAATATATAAAAATATTATAATCCTTCATTTTACAGCCCCCAGCATTGACCTAACTGCCTATGAATCGGGACAGCATAATACCCAAGCACACCTGCCCACGCCACGCCCCCATCACGCCTTCGCCGCCCTAAATGCAACGACGCAGCGCAGCGAGGTATGCAACGAATTGACGCACACGGGCTTGCAGTACAGTTATACCGGGCCCCGGTAAAAATTGGCATGATCGTAAACCCCCATCCGAAAACTGCAATCCTCATCGGCAGATGATAACACACATATACATATACTTCTTCCTGGAACTGGACCAGTAACTGTTGTGTCTTCGAAACCTAAAAATGAGAGTAATTTAATCGCCGCGTGCGAAATCATTGAAAACTAAGTGCTAAATTAAAAGGGGGGACAAACAGAGGGATCTCCCGATGGAAAAATTACCAGACACTAGTAAAATTAGCCTAAATGTTAACAAAATTAAACTTTAATCGAATGAAATTCAATTAAGCCAACCAGAAATCAACACGCAACAGGCAGGAGAAAGATTAGTTTAAGCCAAATTCAGATATTTATACGCAAGGTAACCATATACAACATATACATATTACGAGTATATATACACATAAATATATTTCTGTAGTTGCCATTAGCGCTTAGGGTGCAGCACACTTCCACATGGCCAAATCCTGGCCAGAACTATACAAACATAGTAGCTTCGGTTTCCTTCCAGCCATATCCCCCATATAAAATCGCTCCCAAATCTCCACTCCCAATGAGCCGCATTAGTAGTAGCCATTAATTGATAAGTGAAAACACCAAAATTGAGAAACTAAATCAAAGACCTCCCAATGAAAGTTCCCGAAATACGCATACTAAGTAACTTGTAGAGCCTAGTTGTTAAGATGAAAGACAAATTTTTAGCATAGAAGTGGCGAGCGGCACAGACGATTAACAAACTAAATATTCCTATATACAATATACATATTATATACAACAAGCAGCATCAAATTCAAAGTGAATATACGCAAAAATCAAATGCAAAGAGGCAGAAATAAAACCAAAACATAGCAATTGTAAATTATATATACCAAATATATTCTATACGAACAAAGGCAAAACCAAATCCACTTCAGTCGTTTTCTTTACGTTACCGAAACTGTTTATTTTTGCGTTCTATTTAAATTTTTTACTACATGTATAAGGTATATTTAGCTTAACACGCAGAAGTGCGTTCGATTAACTGGCAGAGAGCAGGATGTTGAATATAAAAACTAAAGTACAGTACAAAGGCAGTTTCATCTAACTACTAAAGAGCGATATAAACAAGCTCTCCTCGATTCAATATCTGATCATTTCCTTTTATTTGAAATCGCAGCAATTTTGAATTGCCCCAACGGGAGATAAATATACTGTAAATGCCTAGTTGGTGTCCTTTTTGCGCTGCGCCTGCTCCCGGTCCAGCGCCCTCTGCTTGGCCTTCTCGTAGATGGGCATCAGTTGTCCGGTCTCGCCCAGCATTTTCAGCAGTTCCACGATGAAGGGCAAATAGTTGTGCTTGCGTCGCACATTCTCCACCTTGTAGCGCTTCTTCTTCTGGATCTCATACTGAATGTACGCGCGCAAGCTACTAATCTCCGTCTGTCGGTCCTCCTCAGTGTCCATAGCATCGGGCGCCGGATTGAGCAACTTCTCAATCTGCTGTTCGTATATGCGCTGCCTGTCCGAGATCAGAGCCATCAGGTTGAAGTGGATCTCCCCGTCGCTGTAGCGCTGCATGCGCTTCTCAATAATCGGACGCACCACATCGATCCAGTTCTGCTCCGGCTTGATCTCACCTAGATCAATGGGTCCCTCCCTCAGGCCATCCAGCTCGTACAATCTACCCCCGATGGGCATATAGCCCACAAAGTGGTACACATCCTCGTCCTTGTTCTGGTTCTTTATGTCCAGCTCGAAGAGTGTCTGGCGGGCAAACGAGTTGTGCACCGTACGGATCTGGCTAGCGTTGCTCAAGGTTAATCCCTTGTTATAGGGATCAAAGCACTGGCAGAACTCCTTAAAATTGGTTAGGGTCTCGCCCAGCTTGATGTCCTCATGCTCCAGGTTCATCAGCAGGCTTAAGATCGCCTGGGTGGCGCATGCATTGTTGATCACTTGCTTGGCGAAGAAGATGTTCTCCCGATCGAGGACCACTTTTCCAGCGGGCTCATCCTCCTGCACCCACTTGAACAGGAAGATCAGACCATGGATGGGCTCTAGGTTCTTGAACGATTCGCTGTCCAGACTCCAGATCTCCTCCACCTGTGCGCCATCGCATCCTGGTCGAACGTACACAATATTATTAAGTTTTCCGATGCCAATTGCCGGCGTCGCTGGCAAAGCGCGCCAATAACTTACCGAATTCGCGTATAAGCTCTGTGAATACTCCGGGATCGGATTCAATGAGACACCAATTTCCAGCACCGTCACCCATTTCAATAATAATCACTTAATTATCTTTCGTCCGTATATTTAACCACAAAACTTCTGCGTTTACTGCATAAAATTTTTTGTCAACTCACAGAGAACAAAACTTGCCAGATGTGAATGAAATTAAGGGATCTGGCCTACTGTTTTTGCCGCCCTGGAAAAATGGTCTGGCAACTCGACTATCCGCCATGACACAAAGCAAAAGCGGTGTAAGAAGAAGCAGAAGACGAAAAAAATATGTGCAAGCAAATCTCGCGAAAGAAAATGAAATTTGCAGCACTTGTCGTGTGTGAAATGTAAACGCAGAGTGCACTAAACAATATAGAGACAATAATCCGCATTTTAGTGTTTATTTCGAGGGCTAAAACCACCGCTGAATCGCCGTTAAGATGAAGAGAAAATACGAAAATTGCGTGCTGCAGCAGAGGCAGCAACAAAAACGCTATTCGTTGTAGATATATACATATATATACGTACATATGTGCATATATATATATGCAAATCTATACATAATAAAGAAGTGTTCGGCGGTGAATTGTATGTGCGATAATAAATAATACGGATAATAATAATTAATTCAACGGACGAAGGCGCGCGAGCAAAAGAAGAGGCGAGAGAAAAAGAGGCGCGAAAAGTTCGCAACAAAATGGTTGTCTCCAAAGACAACAACAAGCGTCGCCGCAAGGAGACGCCCCCACCGCCTCCGCCCGGCCAGCCCACTGCCTCCTCGCTGGCACCTCCATCGGCGGTGGCGGCCATTGAGTCTTCGCCCGAAATGCCCAAGAGGTGAGTCCGCGAGTACGCGATGTCCACATATGTATGCCTGACGATACGGGTAATGTTTGGAGGGCTTATCCATTACTGCACGTTATATACGTATGTGGCACTAGATGGAGATGACGTCGCAGCGTTGGTTGGCTGCTTGATTGGAATGGAAACGGATAGGGGTTGTGGATAGGGGGAGTGGGGAGTGCAGGGGGGTCAGTGGTTGTATACGCCAGCGTCGTGGCGTTGTTGTTCTCCTCGACAAAGGGGTGTTTCGCATCCGGCGTAAAGGGGGGCGGCGCTGGGGGAGATCTCCCCCTCCCAGCAGGTGGATATACAGTGGTTAGTCACTAAGCTGAATATTTGACTCTGATAATTAGGCAGTACTTACCTACGTAGATTGCTTTACTACGTCGTGGGTACATCACCGAATACATAGCCAATGAATATAAAAGTGTATTATTGTTTCTACAAAATTGGTTTTATAGTTTTTTAATATTTTATAAATAGAGATTTATTTTTATATTAGTTTGGGTTTTTTTTCATTTTAACCAACTCATTTACGTAAAATCTATTTTCTGTCTCCTATGCATAGTTTCAAAATTGTTTACCAATACCAAATAATGACCTCATTGTTATTCCTATATTCTTTCATTTATTTGTTCAAGAACTGTATACTAAAGATACATAAATTGATAGCCAATGAATAATAAACACAAAAATCTTAATAACATTAAGTTTTGTAATATTCTAGAGTTTTATAATATGTATTCGATTATTTGTTTATTATTAATGGTTCCCTGGTTAATACCGAAATCGGCTTTTTAACGAGTGTCCCCTGTTTGTGCTGTTGCCTTGATTATGATCCCAAATTAATATTGAATTTCCCAATTTGTATCATGTTGCCTTGTTCCCAATTAAATATCTCTCACACTGCTTTAATGCTACCTTCCATTTGCAGAACGAAGGTGCAGGCACAGCGCAAGTTTGCCCAGGGACAGAGTGCTCCCAGCAGCTCCTCCAGCATCGCCTACAGTACAGCAGCAGCGGCAGCTGGATCCGGATCGGGGCCCAGCACCTCCGGAGCGGATAGCTCTCAGCCACCTATCGAGATCCTGCCCAACAAGTGCCCAAAACCGCAGGACTTTCTCACCTTTCTATGCTTTCGTGGAACTCGCGCGCTGCCCGCCCACTTGGATTTTCTCAACCAGGGCAAGTCCAAGGATTCGGAAGCCTCGACGACGGGAGCCAACAATAATAACAATGGAAGAAAGCCCAACAACAGTCGAGCGAGCTTGGCTGGCAATAAAAAGAAGCGCGGTCGCCCGGCCAAAGGAGCGGCCAAGAAGGTGGAAGATGTAGCCCCTTTATCCGTTTCTACTGCGAAACCCTCAACAGCTGAAAAAGCAGCTAGTGATAAAAACAATCTCATTGCAGCCGATGCGCCTAAGATTCCCTCGCGAAATCCTACTCCTGTACTGCCAGGAGCGGTGCGTAAACGAGCGGAGGTTGTCACCGATGGTAATCGACGAGGAGCAAGAGGCAGAGGAGTAGGCATTTCCCCCGATAAGGCTGCACACCCAGCATTATCCAACGACAACAAGCGCCGCTCCAATCGTGCCAGTACCAAGGAAAGTAAACCCATCATAGATGATGACCATTCAGAGGATCTCGAGGAACAAGAGGCAGATGACGATGAAGATGAGTTCTTCTCTGCTCACGATGCCACCTCGCGCAATGGGGAGGATGTAAAGGCAGACAGTCCTGTAAAAGCAGAACCCACCAAAAGGGGACGACCCTCGGCAGCCAAAAAAGCTGTAGAACCCGCGGCGGAAGCCCAAGCAGTTCTGAAAGATAAGGCGCCCGTTAAGCGTGTAAGGCAACGGGAGTCACCCATTTTTATACCCTCACCCGAGTCCTCCGGACGAATGACAAGACAGAGGGCTTTTTTTGAGCCTGTTAAGGTTCCGCCGCACCAGGAGGAACCTGCAACCCATGATTCCCCAAAAGATGAGCCCAAAAGGCAGTCTGAACCGCTGCCAAGCAAAACAGAAAAGGATCCAGAGCCTACTAAGCAAATAAAGGAAACCAAGGAGAAAACGAATTCCAGTATTTACGCCAAAGAAGCAAAGCAGCAGCTGGAGAATGGAGAGAGTCAGCATGGTGTGGGGGCGAAGGGAAAGAAAAGTCTGAATGTCTTTGATTTTAGTTCAGATGATGAGCAGCCCCTAGCCAAATCCATCAAGCTGAAAAAGGGCGGCAAAGGGGCAAGCCCCAAGAAAGGTGGAGCTGCTACAATTGCTCCGCCAGCCAGGAATCGCAAGGCAGCAGCTAAAAAATTAGAAAAGGAAAGGGAAATTGAGAAGGAAAAGCAAAGAGAAAAGGAAGAAGAGAATGAGAGAGATAAAGCCAAGGACAAAAAGGAGAAGGAAAAGGAGCCTGTGCCAGAGAGCAAAGTGGAGGAGCCACCTAGTGGTGGGAAAAGGGGTAAAGCTGGTAAAAAGAAAGCCGAAGACGCTCCTGCGGATGAGGAAGAGTTGGCACCACCGTCCTCGAAAAAAGTCGCCACCAATGCCCGAGGATCTCGAAAGTGTGCGAAAAGCAAGGCTTCGGAGGATTCCGCAGAGCTAGAGCCTCAGAGATCGCAGCGGCCCTCCCGCAAAACCAAGGAAGCTGCAGCCATTTACATGGGCATCATTGGCCACAAACTGCAGCTGGCCGATGACGAGGAAGACGATCTATCAATGAGCAGCTTTCCAGACATACCCAACGTGAAAGAAATGGAAAAGATGGAGAACGAGATCAAGCGTAATGCGGCGGGAAAGTTAAACGTGCCGGAGGCCTCGACGGTGCTTTCGGCAGGCAAATCAACCCGTAAGCCGTCGCCCCGACCTAAGGATTCGCCAGTTACTGTTCCGGCAGAAGTCACCCGTAATGCGTCCCCCTCTCCCCCAGAAGCCGAGGAGGAAAAGCCACCGCCCCCAGCCCGACGTGGCCGCCCACCTAAGCAGGGCAAGGCAAATGCCGGTCCAGCTCACAAACCGCCAATCGAGGGCATGCTGGTAAAGAAGGGCTCGCTGGCCAAGATGTCTGAGCAACAGGCCAAGCCCAAAGCCAAGTCCGAACATTCGAAAGTCGACTCCGACGAGGAGGAAGACTTTCTCATCAACGAGGAGCTAAACGAAACCAAGCGAAAGCTAGAGAAGAGTTTCAGCGACTCGGATGACGAACCGCTGGCCATCAAGGTGCCAGTGGTTGCGGCGAAAGAGAAGGAAGTATTGCCCCCAAAGATGGCCAGCCCACCGCCCAAATTGGTGCCGGTTCCATCACCCATCTCTGTGCCCACGCCTGCAGTTTCGGTCGCTCCCTCGCTGGCAGTGCCCAGTTTACTACCGTCTTCAACTAGCACCACCCAGCTGACTATGCTTCCATTGACGGCAAAAGCTACATCATCTTTGGGTTCCATGCCGATGTTTTCAAGCATTCAAGCAAGTTATTCGCCACTCAAAACGATGGAGAAAAAGCCGCCGGTGCCTACGTCCAAGATTCTGAACGTTCCCGCCACGTATGCGCTGCCGGGAAGTGCTAGTGGGGCTGTGACTTTTCAGAAAACCTCGTCGTATTTGCCGCAGGCATCGCCCCACTACCATTCCGGTTATGTGCGGCCACCACCTACGCCCACCCACCAATTTGGAGGCGGAGCACCGTCTGGGAGTAAAACTCCCTCCCAGGGCTCATCCCCGATGAAGTACCAGACGCCACCGACAACCTATCCACCGCCCATCGAGGCGTATCAGTGTCCAAAAATTAATCCAAACTTTCTAACGCCTAAGTACGAGCGAAGCCCTCTGCCCAGATCATCGACCAGCAGCTTTCCAAGCCCATCGCCGGTGAAGTTTCAACCAACATCGGGAACCACTGCTACCACCGTGGGCACACCATCATCTGCCACTAAAAGCCCCTTGGCACCACCGCCGCCTTCTCCACCAGTCAGCCAGGTTGTGATCCAGACATCCAGCTTAAATCTTAGCATGAGTATTGCTGCTACAGTAAATTCCGCACCAATGCCAGTGGCCTCCACGTCGGCAGCGGCAGCCCATCAAGCGCCAGTTGCAGCCACAGTAACAGCCACGTCCACACCACCGCCGGCGCACAGTAATAGTGCAGGAACCGGAGGGGGAGCCGGGGCCAATTCGGATCCTCTAAAAGACGAGATTGGGAGTATACTAGCGCAGGCCACGCTGATGCCCAGCAAAGAAGAGTCGGGCAAGATCTTCGGCATTGCCAGCGTGAGCTTAGCCCAGAGTTCTGGACCAGACAACACGAAATGCACATTGGGAAAGTGCGGATCTATCCACAAGCCTGTGCTGGGGCCAGTGGTGCCTACGGAGGGTTACTTTGGCGACCAGTTGTCTAGCAAAGAGCGGCGAAAGGCGAAGGTTAACATGACGCACGAACAGATTCAGAAATGGCTCATTGAATGCTCATCCAATCCAGATGAAATCCAAGACGATTTGGATGACGATTTTGATGATAGTTTAAGGCCTCAGCAATCGACTACTCCTCCGCCCACGAGAGATGATAAAGAGCTCAGTGCAAGCTTCAGTTCATCGTCGAAAAATACGCGCGGCGATCTTGGTAAGAGTGAGAGTGCCTGGTCCGCCAAGGGACCATCCCTGAAGGCCACTCCTGTGCTGGTCACTCCTCCCAATCGCAAGGAACACCACGAGCAGGCGGATAGCAAGGACTGTGATGTTTTGGATTACGACAAATCCTCAACACCTGTGAATCTCACACAGAAAATCACAACCAATGAGTCTGTGGACAAGAAAGTCAACGATCGCAAGGGCAAAGATTCGTCAAAGGCCGCTGCATCTAAGACTGCACCTCAGCCAAGAAGTACTGCCGCAACCCCACCAACACCCATCTCTTCCACGCCCACTCCCGCATCTCTCACTCCATCTAAGAGCAGCCCAACTCCGCCGCCAGCTGTTAAGCAAAAACCGGAGAAGGGAAAGAGAAATGCCAATGCTGGCGGAGGAGCAACTGCATTAGCTTCTCCGCCCGCAGCACCGACTCCTGCAAATCCGAAACGTACTCCAGTTTATAATCAAAAGAACGCTAAGGCGCAGCAGCAACAGGCGGAGACGAAACCACCATCTAATCCTCCCAGTGGTGCAGGAACCAAACGGGAATCGGTCTATGCCTTTGGCAAAGAGGATGAGTCTGGCAATAAGTCGGGCAACCGGCGACGGGCTGATCCCAGTCCGGTTCCTGCCCCAGCTCCCGTGGCCAATGCGCTAAGTGAACGGTCTCCAACAAAAAAGAGAGCAGCAGCCGCAGCAGCAGCAACGGCTGTCCAACTAACGCTGAGTCCTACGGAGAACTGCAAGATCGAAGGCAAACCATCCAAGGCGGCTACAGGCAGAGGAGCCAAAAAGCAACAGCAGCAGGCTCCGGCTCCACCAGCACCACCCGTAGAAGCAAGTGGCGATTCAGATGCAGAGGGTGCAACCTTTTATATTCCCCTGCAAGGAGCTGGAGTGGGTGGCAGCGGTGATGGGGGCATTCAAGGCGTTGCAGTGAAGCTGGGACGAGAGGGGCCCGACGGCCCCAATCAGAAGGTGGTTATGCAGGCCACTCTGGTGACCAAGGCTCAAATGGATACCAACTCAAAGCCGCTGCCAGAGTCGTTGAATACCAACGAGCTGGTAAAGACGTTGCTCCATGCGGCGAGCAATGATGCAGCCTCAACGACTACAAGCCTTAAGAGCTTGCCCAAGGCGAGCACATCAGCAGCGGCGGGAGCAACAGCAGGACCTGGTGCCTCCAGCTTGGTGCGCGTGAACTCCAACTCATCCCTATTTTCGGGCTCGGCTAAATCTCGTACGGCTGCTCAGACAAGCTCCACAGCAGCTGCCGTGGCCAAAAAGTACAAGGATGACACACCCATTAAGATGGCCAACAATACGGCATTTCCGCGACACGATGATCCCACCCAAATGGTGGAAGCGCCCATCTTTCGACCAACGGAAAAGGAGTTCGCCGATCCCATTGAGTTTATCGAGCGCATCACACCAATAGCGGCCAGGTTTGGCATTTGTAAAATCATTCCGCCGGCCAGCTTTAAGCCAGAATGCCGAATCTCTGATGAGATGCGCTTCACTGCTTACAATCAGTATGTGCACAAAATGCTCCACCGCTGGGGACCAAGTGCCAAGGAGCTGAGTGCCATCAAGAAGTACCTGGCCACCCAAAGCATCGTTATGAATCACCCGCCTTGGATCGGTGGAATGGAGGTCGACTTGCCCCGATTATATCATACGGTCCAGGAGCTGGGAGGTCTTAAGGAAGTAATCGAAAAGAAGAAGTGGGCACGCGTGGCGGAGGAAATGTGCATACCTAAGCTGGCTCAGGATCGGGTGACCAAGCTGGACGACATATACTGCAAGTACCTGTTGCCGTACGATACCCTGTCACCGGCAGAGCGACAAAAACTCTTTGACGAGGTGGAGGCCGACTGGGCCAAGCGGGAGGCACGGGCTCGTCGGAATGCGGATCGCTTTGTAAACACGGAGAGCGTGTCCAACGAGGAGGACGATCTGAGCAGTGACGAAGACGAAGAGTCCGAGGAGGAGATAGATGGCGTGTCCATGGAATGCATCGTTAAGGGGAGAAGTATGCCTCTTAGCCAGTTTTATAGGATTGCCCGTAATACGATGGCGTTGTGGTTTAAAAGCACTGATCCCACGGTCAATGAGGTGGAAGCGGAGTTCTGGCGACATGTGGCAGTCCGTGACAGCCATGTGTGCGTTCATTCGGGCTCCATTGACAGCTCAGGCTGGGGCTATGGCTTTCCTAGTCCAGGACCCAAGGGAAAAGGTTCTAACTATGCCAGGCATCCTTGGAATCTGAAGGTGTTGACCAATAATTCTGGTTCTGTGTTGCGATCCTTGGGTCCTGTTATGGGCGTTACGGTTCCCACGCTTCACGTGGGCATGCTTTTCTCCGCCTGCTGCTGGTACAGGGATCCACATGGCCTGTCATGGATCGAGTACCTCCACACCGGTGCCTCCAAGCTGTGGTATGGAATACCCGATGATCAGAGTGCGAACTTTAGAGCGGCTCTAACGTCGCTGATTCCGACGCACTGCCAGAACAAGACAATCTGGTTGCCCTGTGATACGGTGATGGTGCCACCGCACATGCTCACGGATCGAGGAGTGTCACTGTGCCGCATCGAGCAGAAGCCAGGCGAGTTTATTGTGGTCTTCCCACGGGCCTATACCTCAAGCCTGGCCACAGGATATGTGGTCTCCGAGAGCGTTTACTTCGCCACAATGTCCTGGTTGGATTTGGCCAAAGATGATTTCAGGGTATGTTTTAGTAACCGCTCATGCAATTCATTCAAACTAAGTTTTTATTTACTGGTTTTTAGGACATCCATGAAAGCTGTGAGCCAGCTATGTTCTCGTTGGAGCAGCTGCTGTTTGCCTTGGGCTATGACCAGCGGGTCAACTCCGAAGCCCTACATCAAATGTTGCCAATGCTAAATGACGTTTGCGAGAAGGAATCCGCTGCCCGAGAGCAGCTTAGGGTGAGTAGAGATTAAACTAAACTGCACTATAAATTCTTGGAAACAAGCCAGCTGTGCAACCTAAAACTCATTACTTAATCCTTGCATCTTTCAGGCTGCTGGTGTGACATCCACCGAAAAAGTGCAGGCGGAGAAAAGTCAAAAGGCCAAGAAGCAGCAACAGCCGCCATATAAGTCCATCGAGAGCGAATGTGACCTGTGCCGCGCCAACCTGTACATATCGATGGTGCGCACCGAGGATGGCAACATCTACTGCCTGCAACACGCCTTGAAAAACCTAAACAACGGCAACATTCAGGCCAAGCAGTGCAAGCTAATCTATGCGTACAACGTGGATGATATACAACAGCTTATACGGCAACTGCAGGAGAAGATCAACCACAAGGCAGCCGTAAAGAAAAAGTAGCATCGTCGGCGTCGTTACTAATCGGCGGCGCACGAAAGATTCAGGCACAGATAAAAGATACGGATAAGAATTTGGATTAGGAACCCAGCGCAGATGTACATATAAAGAATGTGTATACCTATGTGATTCGCCATCGCTAGTGAGCAGCTAATTGGTAATTGGGTGAAATATAGAAATGTCTATGAGATAATCCGTGGACACACAAAACACACATTAATGCAACGTTTATCTCCCAGTTGACTAACTGACACTATTACTAACTGTTAGATAAGAGCATAGGTTCGGATATAGAGACTGCTCACACTTCAACGTGGCAATGCTTTCAATTTTGACTAGTTTATACATTACGTCGATAAGAAGTTTGCAATGAATTTTGTTTTCCATTTAATTTTTTTGTTATGCAATATTTACCCTCCCCGAAAATGTTAACCCCCATTTGTGTTATTGTATATAGAGAGCCTAGTGTATGTACGTAGTTAGCTTTCGGATTAAGTCAAAGACCCTCAAAGAAACCATGCTAACGTGTTGCAATTTCTACTACCTTTTATACGCTAAGATAACGAGTAATTACCATAGCATCATAGAACGACACAGCCCCAGATATCCTCCACTCCCATAGAGCGCTAGTTTAAGCACTAAAAATAGCAAGGGACCGTCCCGGGATGGATCTCTGCCAACTAACGAACTAAACGAAAGCCAGAGTTACTATCGATGACTGCAGTTGTGAGGCGGGACAACCCAAACCATACTGTTCATTCAACCAAAAACGATATAGACGAAATCCATCAAGGACAGGCGATTATGATTGCGTAAATGAGAACTTTTCACTAGATGTTCAATGTATTTATATAGTAGTAATACAATATTTAAGTAACAAGTGCAACAATAAATCTTAACGCGATATATCGAAGATGCACTGCCTAATTAATGCTACGTACTCCAATTAATAGCTACACTGTCTGGAGGGGAGTTTTGTTTAAAATAGCGACACTGTCTGGAGGGGAGTTAAATTTAAAAGCTATTTAGTATTCCTTATCCTTGGCTACACCTTGGATTTTTTTAGGGCCGGCGGTAAGCAGTCCGCACTGGTCACAGCCTGACGTTTAACGGCGCAACTGGGCATGTTGCCTACCACATCCTCCATTTGGCGCTTGAGTTCGGACACCTGGGTGGTCAGTTCAGTGATGCTGGAGAGGGCTTCCTGCAATCGGCGATCCTGCACCTTGCGCGACACTTCTAGGCTGCGAATCCTTTGCGTAAGTGACCTTTGGAGCTGATATTGCTTGAATAGGTGCTTAGAGAAGCGATCCTTTTGCGAGGAATCTGGCTGTGATTTGCTGGCGGATATCGGGGCCAACTGAACGATGGCCTGCTGGACGAGTCCGTGGTCTACGGGCCGACTGATTCCGGTTCGCCTGACGCCACTGAAGCTTATGTCGCCTAAGGCACTGCAAACCACAAGTCGAGTTCCGGCCGCCGTGGATTCTGCCAATTGTTTTCGGTGTTCCATTTTGAAATTCACAGCAATCTTCTCGTCGAAATGCTCAATGGCCATGGAGGAGATGTCGCGCAGCTCCTGGAGCACCTCATGAGGTCTCAGCTGTTTGGTGGAGGTGCTCAGAATGCGCAGAATGCTGTTAATCTCGTCCAAAACGCGACCAGGTATAAAACAGCAGATGTTGAGGTCGATAAACTTGGAGTACGTCATGGTCAGCATCGATATGCGTGTTTCGATGGAGGTAAGTATGTCCGAGTGGCGGGATAGAATGTGGTTCCTGACGGGGACAAAACAACCAAGGCATCAGAAACATCTCGATGCAACGCGAATGCGATAAGGGACTCACCTGCGTTCCGATTCCCGTCGTGGCAGCATGGATTTGATGCGCTTGAAGTTCTTGGCATGGGCCAAAATAATCTTGTTGAAACCCTTGTTCAATATTTGCTGGCCAAGATAATTAAATAGAGTGCACACCTGAATGGAAACGTCAAGTTTTAGTCAGAGATCAGGGATTCCTGGAACTGTCAGGTCAAAGATCAACTCACCTCCCGTTTTTTTGCCACCTCGTCGTAGGGTAGCAGCTCCAGGATGTCCAGAATTAGTGTTTGTGGCAAGTCTAACAGATTCATATTTCACTTTTCTACTTATTACTAGTTTCGAGTTGAGCGATTTTATTCGAGAATATTGCAATTGTTTTTAATAAGGCAGTGATGTCAGCTCTTTAAAATGGCCAAAAGGCCTTGAGTGACCACGAAATACCACAGACAAGAGACTAAAAATATACCAAAAGAAATTTAGTATATTTAGACTATTATTTTACTCATGTTTTCGATATATAGAAACATAAGTGAATAGAATAATTTTATGGAATAAAATGGTCACAAAATTATTATAACTTCTAAACGAAATTTATTAAATTATTATACATTCCTCATTAGAAAATTAACACATTTTTTAATACATTAGTTGTAACATTGTAATTTCAAATTGTTATACGTTTTTTTTTATTTTGTATCGAAAATATTTGAATAAATATGTTTAAGAAAAATAATTTCTTTTTAGAAGGATTGCAGATTATAATAATAAATATATTTATAATATTTATTTGCGACAAGTAATAGTGCCGCCAAAAAGTATGCTTCGTATTCGTATTCCTAAGGACCGCTTATTTTTCGAATCTCAGTTTTTAACTGTTGAATGCTTATTTAGAATGTATTTTATTTACAAGATGGGGAACAACAACAACAAAATGAGAAGAAAGCTAAATTTAAGCTTGTATTAGAAATTTGCTAGCATCATGAATATCATTAGCATAGGGTTCCAGCTCAGGCTTCTTTTTGGGAAAGTAGGGATTGTGCTCGGGATCGGCATTCAAACTGTAAAGTATATAAATATTTGTAATGAAAATACGAATAACACCCCAATAGCACAACTTACTGGTAAAAGTGGGTGGCTTCCTCGCACTTGACATTGTACCACCAATCGCAGGCGAATTCCTTCTGATTGAAGATGGTGCCGTTGGTGCAGAGGAACTTGGCGCCCTGGTCACCTTCGCGTCCATCGTGGCACACGTGGTAGGCCTGACAGCCCGTCTCCACGTTGGCATACATTCCCGGAGTGGCCGGCACATTGTGGCAACTGAAGTGGGTGTGCGGCACCTCATGGTAAACCGGATAATCTACGCCCGGAACTCCGGGTATCTTGTTCAGGTCTTGCTTCTCCTCGTGATGCTGCGGGTGTTCCGGTTGCGGTGGATTGAATAGATAGCCGAATTTCTGTAAGCATATCAAATGTTTCCATTGCATAAGACATGCCACAGCTCGTGCCCCAATCCGGTTTGCTCTTAGTACCCCCAAATCCCCGCGTGACACAGCCCCATTACAACCATATACGTAGGTACATGTACACTGATAGAAATATTACATGTTAACATTCAGACATCAAACTCTTCTTATGTCAAAAAGTAAATAAAATACTTGTTAAATAGTATATTTTCATAGTGAAAGTAATTAAGAACCGCAATATGCTTCGAAATATATTGCAGCAATTTAAATGTGATGCCAAACACTTTGAAATGCAGCGTCTTTCTATCAGTGTACACATATTGCATGTTACAATTTTTGGGTCAAAAGTGAACGTGGCTAAGACACCCAGAGCTTTGTCAATTGGGGTGGCACACGCTCCTCTTAATTGAGTCCCCCAGCATAATTATATGTTACACTCCAGTTCCGATCCCCAATCCTCACCTGAACTTCGATGGCCACCGCGGCTCCGATCACGAGCATAAGCCAAAAGGAGAAACAGCCCAGCTTTGGCATCATTATGTCGATTATAAAAGTGTATATGTATCTTTTCCGCCTACTTTGTAGCTGGTAGCTTGGAGATTTTGAAGTTGCAGAGACGACCGCTCGAGTTGGGTTTGAAAACCATACTAAACTGCAGTTTTCCCCGCGGCAGCCACTTCAGCATGGAGCTTTCAAGGGTACCGATCCGATTTGTGGAACGGTTTTGGTTTTCGCGCTGGAAGCTGGCGACCCAAGCTTTTTCATTCCGAAATCGGCAAATTACTTAGCTCTGCTTCAATTATTGCCAAAGTAAACGAAACGCTTGGAGCTTAGTGCTCCCTGGTGCCCACATAATTATGATATATGTATATACCACTCATGTGGGAATGCACCATACAACAATGTACGGCACGGGTTTACGGCATGGGTTTATTTTGCAAGATACAAATTGTTTACGCTTAACTAGCTAAAAGCGATGAATTCCCATTTCACTTGGCCAGGCTTAGATGGTACAATATGTGGATGGGATTCGGGTTGGCAACTGGGTGGATGCAACTGCCTACACGCAAAGAAATTATGATCTAGTACTCATATTAATTTGAAGAGTATATGTTTAACGCTTCAACAAGTAACTTTGAAAGTTATAGAAAGTTATATAAACTTTATAATCAAGTTACGATGGATTTTAGTTATTTAAACATGATAATTTAATAATATAATTTTATGAAATAAAATGTATTTATTTAAAGTTTTAATGAATCTATTATGTTGGCGTGTCAAGAATATATCTTTTGGAATACTGTTTTAAAACTGAATTTTGCCGCGGTTATGACAACATTTTTTCTCTGTGCATGGGCTGGGCATGAATGGTTCGCAAACATGGGAATGGGAATGGAAATGCACCAAACGGTGAGCGGGCGTATGGCAAAAGTTTTGAAATGATATGCACATGGTTAGATAATGGATGCGAACCACTCGTAAACTTAACTCTTGGCTGGAGATAAATCTCATAGTTGCCATATTCATGAATTCTACCACATTTCGGGCATTTACAGCTTTAAAACTAATAATTCTTTTGTCCCGTTTGCTGCAGGTCCAGTTTGTTCAGCAGATCGTCAAACTCGCTGAAGAGCTAAACAAAAAAACGAAAAAACAAAAAAAGTCATACCCAAAAATGATGACGTAAAAGCGCTCTGGGATTAGATGGTCTAGACTCACATGTGTGGTGCCATAGCTGTCCACATAGGTCTTGCTGCCCCTGGAGGTTTTCTTGAAAGCGGGCAGCACCGGACTGTGACCATGCAGTAGATTCACATTCTGATAAGACTGCGCCTTGGCCGATCCGGCCAATGGAAGCGACTGACTCTTGCCAACTGTGGGCGCCAGTTCCAGAAAATTGGGCACTAAATTGGGAAGAAGTTCAGCCTTTGGGTGCACTTTCAATCATTCCGGACTACTCACTCTTCTTGGGCTGCAACTTGACCTGGTTGAGCAGCGGATTGTGCAGCTGGAGCTGCCGATAGACAGGCAGGGCGTGCTTTGGCGGCACCACCACGTGCTGACGTCCCACCGCCTGCGGGTACAGGTACGTGGTCTCCACGGTGGGCACCTGGCGGTAGTGGTATCGTCCCTCCCGCGGCGTATACCTCCCATCCGAGCTCAGGGCGATGTGGAAGACGGTGCGCATGGGTTTGCTGTAGTACTGATACACCTGGATGGGATCGTAGAGTTTTTAGTGTCTGTCAGGCTCTGAACCTTTAAATGCCCGTTGTTGCCCAACTTTGGGTTACGAGTTTCTTAACGTTCAGCAAGTTGACACTTTTAGTACGTAAATCTTAATAGCATCTTAACATGTTCGCCTTGTTAGTGTTTTTATTTTTATGTTTTACCTACTGCAGCGGTAAGCTTACGAATAGTATAGCTATAAAATATAAAGCATTAATTTTGTACTCAAATAATGGTTTTAAGCTTTTGTTCATACTACTAAAACGTAAATGCATACTGAATTTGGCTTATGTTGTTTAAGCAGTTAGTTTAAAATTGATAAATGATCGCACTAAATATATATATAAGCATTACTAAATGATGAATTGATCTGTGCTTAATTTGCTAACTTTTTATATGTATATTTATTTTTTTAATTACCCCAATGGAAATTGATAATTATTAAAATTATCTATTTCCGTAAACATTTATTTGTGATCTAGGCCGCACAGCGAAATATATTTGTATTCTCCTAATATATTATATGCAAAACAATCGAATATTCGTTTAAACTAATCTATTAGGATAACTGATCCCTTCTGAAAAGGACCTGCCAAAGGGTATTTTGCGAAAAACACAAATTTTCCTGAACAGCCATATTGGGCGATCATCATCCTAATCCCCTGCCCAAAAAGGGACTGTAATCCAGGGCATCCCGCTGATATTTACCTGAGGATTCCGCTGCTCGGGCACTATACCATCTGGCACTGCGATGCCCTCCTTTTGCAGGCGATTCAGAAACAATCGATCCGTCTCAAAGGCGGTGTCGGGTATCTTACCACCCGCATGTGGCAATACTTGTTCCCGATAGATTTGGCGTTTCTTGAAATTGGTTTTTTGATAGTATTATTTATGATCGTACTGTAAGTGGCGATGCTACGGCCTACACACCTTGTGGTTGCGCTCTGCCAATTCTGAGCCTTGGGCAATTGTGAATGGACCAACGCAAAGATATAGTAAACCGATCAGCAGGATCACACATGGGCTAGACATTTTCAAACTATTTTGTATGCTATTTTGTATAGATTGCAATTCGATTTCCTGATCGGCGAACTCAAAAGGTCAAGCTGATCGATTGAAAGGCACTAGATCACTAGATCACAGACGGCGGCAGACAAACGTTAAGAGCTCGGTACACAAATCCAGATGCAAGACATTCTTCCACATTCGACAGCCAAATTGCACAAGACGAGGCGACAGATGAATGACGAGCAGAATGAGCGATCGCGACACGTTCACGTGACGACGACGACGGTTGCCAAAGGTATCTGGTAATGGTAAGTGGTTATACGGTTATGCTATATCTATAGGCACCGCGATCCTCGGATCCGATCTTGGAGTTACGTTGTGGTCGCGTCGACAGTGCCAAACATAATGAATGCAAATGCATAAGACCGATCTCCACTAGCGGGTGCCCTCTGCCGACGTTTTCTGCCGACGCGCTCATCATCGTCATCATCGCCATCATCGCCATCATCACCAACAACATCGTCGTGATCACAACTATCATTATCATGGCGAGCAGCCGTATTTATTTGTAGGCTCGAAAACACTGAATGATTTCCCATTGCTTTTACTTGGCACTACTTGATAATAGCAACTTCTTGCTATAGTTAGTCTTATTTGCGGTTTTAACTGGAAGTGGCAGCAAAATTGTTTTGGCCAAATTACCTCTATTAATCTCTATGCCCCCTTCCAAAACACAAAACCCAAAACCCAAAATCAAAAACTAAATCCAAATCCGAATTCGTAGTGGGATGATGGGTCGGCTACTTGACTTGAAAGTCTGGCAGAGATCCCTTGCTGCCCGTTGGTACATCTTTGTTATACATAATTACGCCGGTTTCTTGGACATGGCAATTTTTTATGGTAGCACTACAACCTTTTTCTTGCCTCGAAAGTGAATGGCTGAATTGGATTGGTTCGGCTTGCCTCGACGCTCCGAACCTTTTGTTTTTGCCCATTGGCAGTTGTTGTTGATTGCGCCCTCAAGTCAACACTTTCTGAACGTTTCATATTTATTGATTGTTTTCATTATTATTTTAAATATTTGTGTAATTTTTGTTGGCAGCCACTTGCTGTTGAATTGCTTATTTGTCTCGAGAGGGCTTTGATGTTTTCTTTTCGTGTCAGAAGAGTTCGCTGTTGTAAATAATGCGGTTTATTGGCGATTGGGCCTTGAAGGTATTGTGAAAGTGGATTGGTTTTTTGTGAATGCTTGAAAGGCCTTTCTTGGAGGATAATTGGATTTATAATTAATTCTACTTTTTTTGGGGCACGTGCCTTAAAAGTAGGAGATTAAACTTCGGGTACCGTCTTGTTTCGAGTTTTGTTTAGTAATATTTGCTTTTTTCGCCTATTTTTTAAAACTCAACAGCTCGTCAAATATAAAATACGAAATATGTTCATGATTTATTGAAATGAACATTTTATGAAATCCATTAATCAGCCTTTCAACATAAAATTTGATAAGACAAAGACAAGAAAATAATGATGCACAAAACTGATGGTATTAGACATATGTTTTGATTAAACTCGAGTTATTCCAATTCATAACTAATTGAAAAATCCAAAATTCCCACGCTTCCGCATTTGATATTTAATATGCCAAAGCCATACGCCATTGAAGTGCCACATTTCATATGGCACGGGCGTGTTAAAGTAGACCCAACATAAATGTTTAATGCAAAACTGGGAGAAAGTACTTCCATAGCAAAGATATGAGATGACGATAAGAACGCCTACGAATAGTAAGCCGATTGAAATGCCGAACACAAAAAAGCCCATAGCCATTTCGATTGCACAATTGCTGCCGAAAAATGTGTTACACTACAAACTACAATAGACAGAGCAGCAAAAGGCACAATCCAAAAAAATAAAAAACGAGTCAGCTTCTGCATTTTAGTAGATTGTAAGATTCAGACCTTGACTCAATCAAGATGCAGCACAACATCCAGCCATTGGGGAGACCCTACCAGAGATTAATTATTTTAAATCATCACCAGCCTTGGACCTCGGGCATGTTCATAAGAAATATTTGTCTAATCGTTCGATGCTGCTTTTCAATTGTTTGGCCCAAAACCAAATGGTTACGGTCGCTAATTGGCCAAAATTCGAGCTTCCTGGAGGGGCTCGCTCGCAACGAACCCATCACATCAAATCACATCACAAATGGTCCAAGCTCGATGTCAAGGATAAAAGTTGGCTCTTCTGAACCAGTCATTCCCAGGCCTTTCCAAATCGCATCTTGTCACAGAAAGATGACAGGCCAATACCACGACCACGATCTGACATCTACTCGATCTGCGATCCAATGCGATCGTGCCCGGCTTGTGGTCCACATCTTTGCCTTGGAGGTTACCTAATTGGCCAAAAGTCGAGTTCAATTGCCCATAATGTTGAATGTTTGAACTTGTGGGCTTTTTTGTGTGGGATCGAATAAGCAATTTGGTGAAAATAACATCAACAAAACAAATTCGATGCGCCCCTTGTCCATTGTGCACTTGTTACCAATTAACAAATGACTATTCCACTTGGTAATTGAAGTTGCCCGATCAGGTTTTTGGCCATTCAGCGTATGGATATTCCGGAATGATCTGAGCAAGTGCCACGCGTTGAACCCGCAGGCGAGAAATGGCAAGAGAAGTTCAGGGTCACTTCTATAAGTAATTGAACATTATACAATTGGTTACTTAATTGATTTAACGCATTTCGAAATAAGTAAAAAAAAAAGCGATTTCTTCAGTTGACATTCTCGTATATCTTTTTATTTTGGTGTATATATTATATCTTTGCTTGGTTTAGATTTTAAACATTTTTCAAAAAAGTAAACATTCATATCAATCTTTGTTCTTCTGAATATGTAATATGGACAACTGTAAATACTTTTCTGGGCAGATACATATACTCAGAACTCGTTGCGTTCATATCAATATACATATGTACAGATGACAGATAATTCTGCGGCTCGAACTTTTCATAATTTTACAAATAAATCTGCTTCGTTGTCTGCACAGAATTTTAAATGCAAAAAAAAATGTTTCAGCTTGTGTTTCTTGATTTATTTACTTGATAGTTTCGCTAAGTATTTCTCTTTAATAGCTATAAATAAAATACAAAAATGTGGAGGCAACAAAAAAATATGTTTACACATAGTGAATATCGGGGCAATTCAATGTAACTTATTTCTCAGCTAGATTTTGTATAAAAATTATATTATCTGAGTACTATAGCTCAACATTTTTGGAACTGATTGATTGCAGAATAGGCTTTGCAATCTTAATTCTTACGCTTACTAACTAAACATGCTAAAAAGTTAAATAATGTAGGCAAATCAGATGCTACGGAACAAAGTAAAAGTGGGAAAGGCATGATAAGATGAATTCAGTTTTGGTTTTTTGCTTTTAGAGTAATACTATTTTAGAACACAGTGAAAGGGGTGGGGGTTTTGGGATGATACGAAGGTAAGTCTTCTATAGCTCCATACTAAATTGTATACAAATCAATAGGGAACTAATAAAGTGCACTTAGTATGTTCCATTTCCAGTTCGTATGCCGCTTGAATCGTTCAGAACTGTTCTAAAAGTGTTTCTGAATGGCTATCAACTAGCTTACTCTCTACATTATATAATCGCAGGTGTACTAAAACGTGCTAAAACGGCATAATGGTGCTCGGGAGTGTGCTAAATATATATATTTATATATATGTGGTAGGCACTCGCTCAGTGAAATCCCTAGTTAATTCCCTTTCGGTTCTCAAAACAGACACACTAAGCAACAGACAAAATGTACAAAATGTGGGCGCAGTTTTACATCTAACAATAGTTAGATTTTTTCTAGGAAGCGGAGCCTCTCTCCTAAGTTGTGAAGTATCTATTCTCCAACGTTTTCATTACTACTGTAGGCCTTGACAATATCCTTGATGGCTGCCTGGGTGCCGAAGACGAGGGCACCAATTCCGCACAACGTAATGACTGCGTTCTTCCACAGGATCCAGTTGTATTTACCAAAACCACTCTCCCAATGGACAATCAACTCAATGACCACCTAGAAATCGAAGGTATATAAGGTTACTTGATGATATAATGGATCTTGTGATGTGTTTGACTTACCGGGAATATCAATCCTAGAATGGAGAAGCAGAAGGCACCGATGAGACCCATGAATGGGCCAATTGTAGGAACAGCCACGGCCAGAACAACGGCAGCGGTCACCAACACTGTGCGCAGCACATAGTTTACCAATGTTGGGCGCTTCTTGCACTTCTCCTTAATGCCATCCCACAGGATCTCCAGGCACACAAAGAACTGCAGTCCAAATGTGCAATATACGGCCAGGGAAATGAGCACCTTTACGGTCTGGGCGGGCCACTCTTCGATGGGCAAATTTAAGGTGATGCTCTCACCGGTTTTGGAACCGTAACGCAGATAGCCAAGGAAACCCAGCAGCATATAGATAAGGGTCACGCCGGACATGCCCTGGCTGAGCACACCGCAGATTCCGAGGAAGCTCCGTGGCGTCTTCATGTTGTTCTCCAGTGGCATCACCACACCGATCGCCTCCATCGCAAAGATGGTGATCGAGAAGAACTGCGGCAATGTGCTCCAAACCACGGAATCGCGCTCCTCCACTGATGGCAGATCCTGGACCAGATAGTAGAACGTAATGCCCAGTCCCAGGCCCATGAAAACATTGGCCACCATCGAGACGGGAGCCAGGTACTTCAGATTTGGCACCCAGGCAATCAGGATTAAGGGCACCAGCATTATGCAAATGAGCATGCGCAGCGACACCGGTGATCCCGTCCAGTGGGAAATCAACTGCTCAAAGTTCGAGGCCACAATTACCGTGTACACCGAGCAGGTGCCAAAGTACGTCAGGAACAGACCAAACAGGATGGAGAACTTGGCCACCGGCGCGAAGCCACGGCACCATTTGGGTCCTTTTTGGAAGGCAGACTCGGCAATCTCGGCAAAGGTCATCTTGGTACGGCGAGTTCTGTAGTACAACTTGTGTCCGCATTTTACCTATAAAGTTGTTATAAAAAATATTTAATAAATCCACATTTGTGTTTTTGGATTTAACATACCAACACGTAACTGCAGTGCGTGCAAATAAAGGCGGTGAGAATGGTGGCGAAGATTCCCATGACGAGACCGGAGCACATGAAAGCAAATGGCATGCCCAGGATACCGGTTCCCAAAGAGGCCTTAAGCAAATGCGTGAGAGTTTCACTATCGCTATAAGGGAAGAGTAAATACTTATTAGGAATTCGAAAGTCCAAGGATACAAAGCAACCTACGTTGTGGGATGTGGATTGTCCCGCAATGCGAAGGGATCGAAGTCATTTCCAGCCAAGGCCTGCTCGGTATCCGAC